TTTAAAATCATGCTTTACATCTTTGTTGAGAAAAAGGAATAATTAAACATTATTTAAAATGAATGATTGGGCTTGATATACATTTACAACCATGAAGCCATCACCCCTGTCAGCTCCAGTACATCCCTAGAAAGCTTCTGTGTGGGTTTTGAAACCCATTTCTCCCACCACTATGTCCCCGGGTGTTTTCCAGAATTTTCTAGTGATATTACCAGGCAGTATGCATCTTTGTGTAAGGCTTTTTTTTTATTTTTTATTTTTTATTCAACATAGTTCTGAGATCCTCCCTCCATGTTGAGTGTATCAGCAGCTTCTTCCTTGTTGCTATGTAGTGTTTACTAGTTGATTCTTCTATTTAAGGACATCTGGAATGTTCTTGGGTTCGATGAACATTCATGTTTCTTCTTTTGTAAAAATGTTCACTTCTCTCGCTCATGTTTAATTGGCTTCTTTGTCTCGTGATATAAGAGTTCTTTCTGTGTTCTGGGCACAAGAGCAGGACTGTTAGTAATGAATTCACTTCATTGTCTTTTGCCTGAGAATGTATTTAATTCCTGAAACACATTTTCACCGGATGAGTACTTGGAGCTGATCAACTCTTTTCTCTCAGTACTTTAAAGGTATAATCCTGCTGTCCTCTTGCCTGCATGGTTTCTGCTGAGAAATCCGTGGACATTGACTCATGAGTTTCCTCTAGGTGGTGTGTGCTTCTGTCCCCGTATTGCTGCTTTCAATTTTTCAGTTATGTTGGATTTAGAAGTTTGAATATTATATGCATAGGCATTATTATCTTTGAAATGATTCTGTTTTGAATTTACTAAGTGTCTCAAATATATAAACTTATATGTTTTACTAAAATAGGTGAGCTTTTGGCCATTCTTGCTGAAAATATTTTTTTCTAGTCCAATCTCTTCCTCTTCTGCTTCTGGTGGGACTGCTACACTGTTAGGTATTTAGGTGTTAATACACAGGTGCCTGACATTCTGGGCTTATGTATTTTTAAAAATCTTTATCTCTCAATTTATCTTTCAATGATTTTCATTGCTTTCAAATTCTTGGGTCCCTGGTATTATCATCTCCATTCTGCTATTGAGTTATCCAGTGATTGCTTTTTCAACTTAAATATTGTATTTTTCAGTTTGATAACTTTTATTTGGTACCTTTTTATATTTTCCATTTCTCTGTTAAGACTTTTTATTATTGCATTCACTTTAAATGTGTTTTCCTTGACTTTATGAAGCATAGACAAAACAGCTGCTTTAAAGTCTATGATAATTCCCTCTTGAGACTGGCACTTGTGTATTGTTTTGTTGCCTTGAGAATCAGTCCTATTTTTTCTGCTTGTTTGCATGTTGAGAGGTTTTGAACTGTATTTGGACACTGTGAATGTTACATTTTCCAGATTATGAGTCCAGTTATAAGCCTCTGAAGAATGCTGATGTTTTCTGCTTTAGTAAGAAATCAACCAGCCTATGGTTAGAATATAAGTTCACTTTCTATGGTTATATCAATTTAAACACACACACACACACGCACACGCACACATGCCTTTAACATATCTTCCGAAATCGCTGTAAGAATCAGCAGTAATTCAGCGATTTACCTGGTCATTTTGTCAGTTGAGAATTCCTTGCTCCTTTCCCCCCTAATTCACTCACTAGTGAAAGGAGGGAAAGGGAGTGCTCGCCTCAACAGTGAAGGTGTTGGGTTGGAACACCCGCATCCTAAATCAGAGTGCCTGGGTCTGAATCCCAGTTCTGCTCCCAATTCCAGCTTCCAGTTAATGTGCACTCTGGAAGGCAGCAGGTGGCAGCGCACGTAGTCAGATCCTTGCCACCCATGTGGGACACCTGGATTGGGTTCCTGGCTCCCCAGCATCAGCTCAGCTCAGACCCGGCTAGTGAGGGCCTTTAAGGAATGAACCAAATGGAGAGGATCTCTGTCTCTGTTCCTCTGCTTCTCGAATAAACAACATTTTCCAAAGGTGGAAAAGTGTTCCATTTTTGGGTGGTCGCCTAAGAAATGCTTTCTTTACTTCACTCCTGATCTCTCTAGATCAAACACTTCTCATAGAATCTTTTTTGAGTTCAATCTTTTTATTTTTTTTCCCCAGCAAAACTTAATGAGTTCAGCCTGTCAGGCTATTTTCTTTTGTCCTTCTAGCTCATATTTCTTTTTAAATTCTATCAACTATCAACTTAATCAGATCTCAAGGGTATAGGATTCCATCGAAATCACCTAGTGTTAGCCTTACTGACTTCCTTTTCTTACCTAAATCCTGCTCACCTTTTACTTTGGCTGGTAAAGCCACAAATGTGGCCTCTGCTATACGTGTGTCTCTTCTTCACAATGTCTGATCCGCTTACTCGATGGATATTCCTTTCCCAGTTGTTCTCTTTGGGCCACAGAGCAGTGATGCGACTCAGCGTTCTTCAATTTTTATAAAGCGTTTGCCATTTTTATTCGTAATAGATGACCACATTTGGAATTTGAACACATGCTAAGCATTAAGTGATGAGATGCTTGGTGCATGTAAGGGTTCTGGCTGAAATGAATTGTCATAAACTTCATTCTTTTGTAGCGATGAAATTCTTCTAATTATGTAAACAAAAGCCAGAGCTTTTCAATATTCACACTGAAATTCATATTTTAGTACTTTATACTTGATCATTATCCACTAAATATACTGTGAGAAAACAATAAAATTTAAAAATTGTGTTACTCAGAAAAGAAATGATCTCTCAAATGTTCTCATCCAAGCCCTACATTCAGACTTGCTACGGGTCACATTGCTAGACACTGAAGGAGTTTGAAAGGAATATGAGTTATGCCTTTGTCTCCCTGTGAAAAATCCTGATAGTTTTGACATTTCAGAATATATTAAGCTGAAAATTTCACTGCATATTATGAAAACTGCTAAATCTTAGAACTTCTTTTGGGAATATTTTGCAGAAGAGGCTTATTTTGCCATTTGTTTTGTGTTTATTAGATGACTCTGAGGAATTACACTTGCAGAGAACTTTTGAAATTTATAGGAAGAACTTTATTGCCGAAGTATTTTTAGGAAAAATAATAAATGAATATTCAACTCAATTGTTATTTACTAATAACCTCCCTGAGGTCCTCATTATGTCAGTTCTGGGAGAAATGCCAATGAAATATTCAACATAATACAGACCTTCAATGAGCTACGAAATAACTGAAGAGGATGTCCAATCTAAGGAGGAAACTTAGCATAACTAAGAGCAACCAAGAACTCTAATAGATTCCCAACAGAGTGGACAGGGTGTTATGGGGGGTACCTGGGAAGACTCCTCAAACACAATAAAAGGAAAAGATGTGACTTGACCCAGTAGACTGCAGACATGAACACACACACATGAAATTTATGTGACATTCTTGAAATGTTGAAAATTACATGTGCTATGGACTGTCCTCTTCGAAACTCATGTTGAAATTTGATGGTCATTGTGGAAATGTTGCAGAGTGGCTCCTTAAAGACGTGATTAGGTCCCTAAGAGGAGGGCTAATGCCTATGGCATGGGACCGGGTTAACTATGGAAGACTCGATTGTTATTGCAATAAGGGGACTTTAATAAAGACAAGTTTGGCTTCCTCAGCTTCCTCCTGCTTTCTGTTCTACACACACGTGCTTATCCTTGCACAAAAGGCTCTCACCAGAAGCTGGGCAGACGCCAGCACCATGCCCTTGGACTTCCCAGCATGCAGGACCTAGAGCCAAATCCACTTCTTTCCTTTATAAATGACCCAGTCTTGGTATTATGGTAAAACAATAAAAAATAGATTTCCTCTCCTGTTAAGGGAATCACTATTCTGACTGCTCCAACCTCCCTTCTGAGCCATAGGATCCTTCACTGCCCAAGCTACCATGTCCCAGGGACTCCCTGCATTCCTCACTAGTAACCCCATCCCTACCATTGCCCTGGAGAGCAGCCACCACTCCATTCATCTTGCTCAGCCCGCTGACTCAGACTCTACTGGCCAGGGAGTTCATGGCTTCATCAGAGTGCCCCAATGGAAAACCCTGACGCTTTGCGGACGCACCATGTCTGGTCTCCTTTCTTCCTGCTTGACTTTTCTGAGATCTCCAGGATCAAGCCCCACCCTGCTCTCTATCCCTTACATCAGCCCTGCCTTGAACTGGGCAGTTTGCATCCATGTGTCTTGCTCCCATACCTTCCCCTTCTCCATCCAAAACACAGCTGTTAACCTTTGTTAACTGGGCTGGGTCATGCTTTGTCTGTCATGCTGCAGATTAGCCCATGATTATACTTTTCTAAGGTAAAAACACACGTGCCTCCTTGTATATCGAGTCAAGGTTCCAGAAACCTTGACTGCAAGACACTGCGGAGAGGTCAGGACCACAGTGGCCTGCCTTGTTGCTCAGACTGGAATCTGTCACATGGACACTGACTTGATCCTCTTCCGTACTGGGAGAGTAGGCCACGATGAAGAGTTAGAGAAATAAAATCACTTTTCTAAAGCATATGGGACAGCAGCCATGACCCCAGTGCAGAACTAAAATACATTTGGTGGAGACAAAGGAACTTTGGAATCTGGGCATGCGGCCGTGCGGTCCATTAAAGGGGCACACCTGCATAGCTTCATGTTTCCTTCTTTGCAAGTTACTCACGCGCGTTGTTCCAGAAAATGTAGCTGATCAAGGCACAGTGTCTGATTCCAAGGAGTGAAAATGAAACTGACAATAAAGGAAGTACTAATTGTTCTGAAGTCGCTTTTGTTCCTTGTCCTACAAAAGATGCTGTATAAGGTCCTGATAGAACAAGGACATCTGACTAAAAAGAAGCTCCGCCTCCTCTCTCTGCCCCCTTTTCCTACTGTGACCTCCTTAAAGGCGGTTGTGGCAAGCAGTTGGCGCCCTCTGCTGGAAGTAACCAGGGACACGGCTTGTCAGTTGTGCAAATCCCAGCTTAAGGTATTTATTTGTAATAAATGAAAGAATGCATACTCTGCTCTAATCTATTATAGTCTGTTAGTGATATTTTATTTTTTTTTAAAGCTCAAAAATGCAAAACATAAAATACTGTCAGGTTATCAACAGGACATTTAAAAATGCTTACAAAGATTAAGACAAAAACTTTACAAAAAAGAGCCAAGGAATTCATTTTACATTTTAGACCATTTAATAGAGGTATTTGTTGTATACGTGGTTTCATTTTAACATCCACACATTTCTCCCTGGAAACAACCTGAGTTGGCAAGGAAATGTGAACTGATGAGCTTTTCATTCACAAATAAATTTCCCAAGACATCAGCAATGATTCCGACTGAGGGTTTCCGCCAGCAGTTCAGGGCTCAGTCCCAGGACAGGAATGAGGGAAGACGCCTTGAAGATCGAATGCTCTGCTGAAGTCGAGGGACTGCACCTGCGCGCCCTTACTCAGCCAGAGCCTCCTCAAACAGCCCCGGAACGAGGTCTGGCTGCTCAGGCAGTTTTGCTTGACATCAGCTGTTCAGGAAACAGAAGACAGAGACAAGACTGGCTTAACTTTATTGAGATGAGCTGGGGGGCACAACAGAACCGAATGATTCTCAAGTGGACTCCACCAGAATCGGGAAGCTATTTTGCCACATGTGTGGCTTCCGTGACTAGAGTTCATAGAACACTTTGACTATGTAATAATTTCAAGGCACAATGGTGACTTTAAAGACACACAATCGATGTTTATGTTTTTAACAATTCTTTGGAACACTCACAATGCATAATTCTAATCCAAAAGCATGTGAGGAGATAAATCAAGTTTTTCCCCTAAAATGATCCCCATCTCTGAGAATCAGCTACGATGACTGATCTCAGGAAAGTTATTCCGCTTACTTTGTTTCAGATCCAGTGTTCTCCCTGTCTTACTGCATGAAGTGTGTGTGTGTGTGTGTGTGTGTGTGTGGATACGCGACTTAGACTGTTCCAGTGGTTCACCCCCGAAATGGCTGCCATGGCCAGTGCACTGCACTGATCCAAAGCCAGGAGCCAGGCACTTCCTCCTGGTCTCCCATGCGGGTGCAGGGCCCAAGCACGTGGGCCATCCTCCACTGCATTCCCTGGCCACAGCAGAGAGCTGGACTGGAAGAGGTGCATCCGGGACAGAACCAGCGCCTCGACTAGGACTAGAACGCGGTGTGCCGGTGCCACAGGCAGAGGATTAGCCTAGTGAGCCACGGTAGCAGCCCTGAAATAGCCTTTCTAAAATGGTAAAGGATCTGTCATCCAGCCCATAGCTTTCTCAATACCTAGTCTACAGCCACGTGAACTAACACTTCCCCCCTGACGGTGGCCGTCTTCAATGCGGTGAGCAGGCAAGGGCGCACACGTACCTGGATAGCCCCCTACGTAAATGGGGTTGTTGGTGTCGGCCGAGGTGGACTGGGTGTGTGGACTCTGAGCAGCAACTGTGTTCCCGTCCACAGTGAGCGCGAGGCGGTGCTTGCTCTTGTTGGCTTGTAGGGTGTGCCACTTTCCATCACACAGAGTGCTGCCAGCTCTGGGCTCGTAGGCGGCTGTAATCCTCCCGGCGCCATTGTTCACGTGGAACAGGAGCTGAGCAAAGCAAAGATCCACAATTAAGGAACACAGTCCATTTGTGTAATGCTCTTAGTCTGGGGAAAATCGCAGCACTCTGTTAAGGAGGGCTCACTATGAAAAACAACCAAAAAAAAATGATTTTCACAAACAGACTCTTAGAGGATTCAGATGCTATCGTAGTCCTCAAGTTTCAGGCGGGCAGAGGGTCACTTCCATGGCAACGGGCCTGAGCCACACTGCATCCTCGAACCAGTGCCTGATTTTCAGGACTTTGCGGGAGTTAATAGGCCTCCTGAGGGTGTCAGTTGCTACCAGCCGACAGCTCCTAGGCAGGAACATCTACCTACTCCTTTCTTACAGGCTGTAGATGCTCTGCCGTGGCAACTAGCAACAGAATCGAAAGCTTTGCCCCAGATGAGAGGTATTTTGACCTGAGTAGGGTCTCTCCGAAATTCACATGCTGAAGTCCTGACCCCAGGACCAAAGAACATGACTAGATTTGGAGCCTTTTTTTTTTTTTAATGATGTATTTACTTATTTGAAAGGCAGAATGACACACACAGAAAGACAGAGACAGCGACAGAGTGAGAGTGAAAGTGACAGAGACCTTCTGTCTGCCGGTTAACTCCCCAAATGCTCCCAACAGCTGGGGCTGAGGCAGGCTGAAATCAGCAGCCAGGAACTCTGCTGGGGTCTCCCATGTGGTTGGCAGGGGCCCCAGTACTTGAGCTATCTTCCCTCCTTCCCAGGCGCATCAGCAGGGAGCTGGATCAGGAGTGGGGTAGGTGGGACTAGAACCGGTGCTCAGATACAGGATGCAGGTAGCCCAAGTTGGGGCTTCAGTCACTGTGCCACAGCGCCCACCCCTGGGATTTTTAAATGCCAAGATCTTTAAAGCCCTGAAATGAGTTCACCAGGGCTGGCCCTAATGCAATCTGACTGTGTCCTTATAGGAAGAGGTGATGAGGACACAGACACACAGGAAAGATCGTGGAAAGACACAGAGAAGACAACCATCTGTGAGCCCAAGGAGAGGCTGCAGGGGAAACGGCTCTGCCCACACCCTGACCGTGCTCTCCACACTGTGGGAAAATCAGTGTCTGCTGCTTAACCCATCCAGTCTGTGTGGCAGCCCAAGCAGACTAAGACATGAGGGCAGAAGTTCAAGTGCACTCCCGTGACATTCTTATGCTTCATATGAACTCTTCAATGTTATTTCAAGGTAGATTGTGACAAATCAAAGATGTAATATTACAATCCCTTGGGAAACCACTAAACAAAGTCTGAAAAGAACAAAAATAGGGGGCTAGCACTGTGGCATAGCGGGTAAAGTCATCGCCTGCAGTGCCAGCATCCCATATGGGCACTGGTTCGAGTCCTGGCTGCTCCACTTCCGATCCAGCTCTCTGCTATGGCCTGGGAAAGCAATGGAAGAGGGCCCAAGTCTTTGGACCCCTGCACCTGTGTGGGAGACCTGGAAGAAGTTCCTGGCTCCTGGCTTCAGATCAGCCCAGCTCTAGCCATTGCAGCCATCTAGGAAGTGAAACAGAGGATGGAAGACCTCTCTCTCTCTCTCTTTCTCTGTCTCTCTCTGTCTCTGCTTCTTTGTAACTCTGCCTTTCAAATAAATAAATAAATCTTTTAAAAAAAAGAGCAAAAATATAATAAGGCAGTGATAGAGACAAAATATACAATGTACTAGAAGTTATTTTTTTGCAGTTATTATTTTTCTGATAACACGTTTGTAGATGCCACACAGAAATATATGAAGAGATGCAAAGTTTTTCAAAATTCTTTGGAAGTAGAGACCAGGGGGGAAAGTTGGGCAAAAGCCAGAGCCCAAAGCAGCAGCAATGTGACACAGAGGAGGAGAAGCAGGTCAGACAGGACGATCTTGGATCCTCTCCACCCCTCGACATCCTGCGGGTCCAAAGCTTGGCGGTGAGTAAGTAGTGAAATTCTAGAAACGGAATTAAGTAGGAGAGTGTAGAGCATAGAGACTGTTCTGTGCTTTGCAGGAGGCAGCTGCCCTGGCAAATTCAAGCACTTTAGTCCTACAGAAACACAGGTCCACTATGGTGCAGCAGAAACAGTGTCAGGTAGAGAGCAGAACCGAGAGGCTACCATCGCTGCTGATTTCCAGGGGCCTGGCTGTGGCATGGCAGACATTCAAGTCCTCAAACGCACCCAGGAGAGAGTGGGGCAGGGGCTGAAGATGAACAGGCAGCAGTGCCCCTGACACCCGGCATAGGAAGCCTGAGCTACAAGGGCTGTTGGCCAAACCCTCCAGGAGCAGTCCCCAGGCAGTGGCGACACTGAATCCCCAGACCACCCACCCAGTCCAGCCAGCCAGGGTGTACAGAGGGTCAGGAGGGTGAGCTACCCTCACCTGACACCAAGGGCAGAGCTGCAGAAAAGACACCAGTGACCAGGCTTCCCTTCGCCTGTGCCCAGATGGCCCCAGGAGGGGGAGAGGCAGGCAATGGGCAGCTGGAAGCAATTTTGAAGAAGGACGTTTCACATAAGAGGTGGAAGCACTGTAAGTTTATTTTATTCTCAAAATGCAGGGCAAGAGAAGCTCAGAGGCAAGAGCAGAATGCTATTGGGGAAAAAAAAAGCCACATTTTTTGGCATCAAAAATTAAGTAGGGTGTAGAACATTCATTTCTCGGAGTCACAGTGAGCAGTAAAAAGAAATGAGCTATCGATACACACAGCCTCCTGCAGGAGCCTCCAGGCAATCGGGCTGACTGTGGAAAGCCAGTCTCGAGAGGACACTTACTGCATGAATTTGTATAACACTCGTGAAATAACAGCTAGAGCCATGGGGGCTGGGAGGGGAGGTGGGCGGGCATGGGGGTGGCAGTAAAGGGGTCACTCCAGGAAGCCTTGTGATAATAGTACAAGTAGGTGTCTTGGTTGTGGTGTGCTTATCATACTTCTCACAAGCCACATGTGATGAGATTGTATAAACCTACACACACACACACACACGCACACACACAATTGTGCAAGCTCTCGATTGTGCTAAATGCCCAGGGCATGAAGTTGCTGCTGTTCTATGTACAATGTTGTGCGTGACGGCATTTCTGGGAAGCCTGGCTCCAGGGTGCACGGGGACTTCCCTGTACGTTTCACGCAACAACGTCCTACTCAGCTAGGATTGCTTCCTAATAATAAGTTAAAAACTCAGTAGAAAGGACAGGGCATCAGGTGGGCAGCCAATGCCCAGGTGGTTCAGGAAAGGAAAGCTCTTTGTGTTGTCCATACAATTATGCTCTAAGTTTAACTTCAAATACGTAAAAGAAGGCATTTTTAAATCATCTTTTAAATGTGTGGTTATGTGGATGTGGCTGTGTCTACTGTTTCTCATCTGCTCTGTCTCTCACATGGAAACAGGGGACCCCGGAGAGATGAAGCACCCACCTTGCCATTTACAATCTCCAGGCCGATGGCGTCCACTTTGGCACTGCTGATCCCCAGGAGGACGCCATTCTCTGAGGAGGTACGGAACTCCAGTGTGATGTTTAAATCCGATCGGACTCTGTAGCCTTCCTTAACTGAAAAACACAGGACGATCCAGAGTCAGTGATGAGCTCTGGTGGGCCCAGGCCAGCACAGGTGCAGAGAGGTGCAGGCCTGGGCTGCCTGTGCATTTGGGCTCCACGCTGTGATGTTGAGCACCTGCCTGCAGCTCTTCCTGGACCCAGCTCCACCCTGACGATCATTACCGCAGGGAATGTGCAGCCATCATCTGTCGCTGTGGGACACTTGGCGTCCCGTACTCCGTGGACCTGGCCATCACATAGCAGCTGTTCCCATACTGCTCAGATTCAATCCCGGTGATCCTCTCATCATCCAGGGATGGTCTACTTGTTCCAGTACCTATGTTCTGGGCATCCTATCATTTACTGAGGGCATCAGAGTCCACATCAGAATTTTTTTAAAATGAGGATTGGATTGACTGATTTTTTTTATTCATGTGATGCATAAACTCTCATATTTATATGTTTGAGAATGGGGGGAGGAGGAGGAAGAGGAGAAGGTTGAGAGAGAGAGAGAGAGAGAGAGAGAGAGAGAAGGCTCCTACCCTTTGGTTTACTCCCCCAAATGCCCACAATAGCTGAGCTGCGTGGGGCAGAAGTCAGGAAGCAGGGAATGAATCCGGGTCTCTCATGTGGGTGGTAGGGACCCAACCATCCATGCCATTACCTCTCAGCATGTGCATTAGTGGGAAGCAGGAATTGGGAGGGGCGCTAGAATAAGAACCGAGGCTTTCCATCCAATATGGGACATGGGCTTCATTAGGACGTCATTAGGTGCCTTAACTGTTAGGTCAAAGGCCTGCCCTTGGCCTTGACAGTCTATGCTGCTGATCATTACCCCAAAGGTCATTGTTAACATGGATAGTGGGGACAGCATTGCTGAAAAGATGGAAGAAACCAGTGCCTCGTGTTTGGCCTGTCAGGAGTCACACCACTCCTGGTGGCTATCTGATTAGCACAAGAGGAAAGAAGGCTTTTTACATTAAGAGTCAAGGAGTCGGGGCCGGTGTTATGCACAGTGGGTTAAACCGCTGCCTGAGACTCTTGCATCCCATATGGATATCGGTTCTGGTCCTGGCTGCGCCACTTCTGATCCAGGTCCCACTAATGCACCTGGGAAAGCAGCAGAAGATGGCCCAAGTACCGGGACCCCTGCAACCCATGGGAGACCCCAGTGAAGCTCCTGGCTCCTGGCTTCGGCCTTGCCCAGATATGGCTGTTTTGGCCATCTATGGAGTGAACCAGGGGATGGAAGATCTCTCTGTTGGTCTCTCTTCCTTTGTCTCTGTAACTGTGCCTTTCAAATAACTAAATAAATGAAATCCTTAACAAAAAGAGTCAAGGAGTTAAACTGAAGCCATGACCAGTGGGCCCTGCTTATATTTCTTGGAGCTGAATTATCTTAAGAGTGTAGGTTAATCCCAAGGCTGTCTTTCCAGATTGTTGGTGATACATACCAAGAGCTGCGTATCCACTTCCTTCAAAGAAAGTTCCTTCCTGGGCCACGGCATAGCACCTGTTTACTGCAAAGGCAGACACTGGGCTGTCCTTGTCCAGCTGTTTGCTGTTGAGTGTCACCTCCCCGATGCAGGCAGGGATGCTGTGGGTGATCTAAACCAGATGACACGTGAGAGCGGTCAGGGCTGATTATCACAAGAGGCTGGCAGGTACAGATTTTCCCTATCCTTCATCAAATTTGTCTCCATGCATTAAGATGCTTTCTGGTTTCTATAATTTGTCACAACAGTTCGTAGGCACATTGAACTCTGAGCCAGTCTTTTTTTCTGAAAATAATACAGCAAAAGTGTTTTCCAGTATTTCAGTGAGACACTGTATAAATCAAGAATGCTGTATTTACCAATGTGCAGGCACAAATTTTCTGGACTTTGCTGAACTCTGCTGGGGCTCAGGGGCTGCAGAGGGGCACTGTTCATTACTAACAGCTGGAAGAGTTAGGCAGGTTCCCAGGGGAAGCCCCAACCCCCTTCAGTGGACGTGCCCTGACACATCTGTGTCTTGTACCTGAGCCCCAGGTGCACATGAGATAATGTGGCCAGAAACACATGGAGAACTACACTCCTCTGCAAAGCAAACACAGCCACAGCAGAGGCAAGGACCCTGTTTAGAGACTGCTGCTTACGTTTCCAATGTTCCTGGCCCGGTACTCGGAGGGAAGGCCTCCCAGGTACATCCTCCCTTCCACATCCAGCGTGGTCCCGTCTCCCACCGTGGTCACCCCGGGTGACTCTTGGCCATCAACAGTCACGATACCTTTTCTTTTAATGTACTCTGTCTTGACCTGCGGCAAGACAAAAACATCCGTCACTTTTAAGGAATCAGAAAGTGTCAACATTACAGTTACGTTTGCAACACGCGCTCTTTACAGCTATAACAACCTGGATGAAACCCTGAAGGAGGGCTCAGATTTTCACAGAGTTGGTGAAGAAGAGAGATCGCACCTGACACAGGTCAGAAGTGGCCACGGGGCAAGCTCCCTATGGACCAGAAGGGTCCCAGAGCTCTGGTATTAGAAATTAGAGACCCGGATGGAACATTGGTCTTTTCACACCATGGGCTTGATTCACTTCCTGTCAAGTTGAGAGTATTTCTAGCACCTTCCATCCATTCTGCTAATGTTTGCTGAGTGCCTACCAGGTGCCAGGAACTGAGCAAGGCCCTAGGAGTATTTTGGGAAGCAGGGAAGAGCTCCCTCTGCCTCCAAGGAGATTGCATTGTCAGGGGGAGATGCCAGTCCCAAGGTAAGCCAGAGATCGAAGCGAATCACATTCCTTCAGGGCAGTGGAGTGAGCATCCAGGGCGGACGGGATAAAGCTCGAGACTGTACCGTGTGCCACTTGCCGTCGTTGAGCAGGGCCGGGTGAGAGACCTTGGTTCGGCCTTTACCGAGATCAAACATGAACTGGAGGCGGCCCTCGTGCAGCTGGAGCGTGGCATAGTCCACTTGGTTCTGGTGAGCCATGTAGTAAATCAGACCGCTGGATGCAAATGTCCGGATGCTCAGCTGGACCAAGAGCCTGGGCGAGAGCAAGACCTCATCACTCAAAGAACATGTCACCCTCCCAAGGGTAAAAGGAATCTCCCCAGGGGAACCCAGTAACCTTTCCAGCATTGACATTCAATACGCGGGAGACAGAAGCATCCTTCGTTCCTATGTGCATGTACCCATTTAATGAGTGGCTACTTCCCATCTCCGTCTGCCAGTTACTGTCCTGGGAGACGAGGAAGGAACAGTACACAAAAAGGAGGAGGCCTTTCTCCTGGTGCTAACATCAGAAATACACCTAGAGGGATACAAAACTGGGCCGTGGAAGGGCTAACTGGAGGCCTCACTCAGCAGTGCACTCAGCATAAGCAACCCTGAAAAGATGAACTTTCAGCCGAGCTCTGAATGGCAGAAGGAGCAAGTCCTCGTTGAGCTGCCTTGGAAATGCCTGCATTCTGTTTCAGAACCACACAGAGAATATTAACATGAGGGGCTTGACTATGGCGGGGAGTCAGGAACCTCCCCCACGGCTATGTGGGAGTAGAAGCCAGCGCAGGTGCAGCGAAACCGCCTGGGCACAGGATACTCTGCAATGTGGGGAGGCAGTGTGGGAAGGTGTTAGGGTCAGATGTCTCAGGGCACTCGAAGGACGGCTGGAGTGGGAAGTGACAGAGTAGAGAATAGGGGAAGAGGTGAGCTAGTAGGATGCATTGCAAATTGCGACTGTGCACTGGGAGGGATGCTAATGAAGAAGTCAAGGCTGTGATCGCTGTGAAGGGTGTTCCAGGAAGAAGGAAGAGGGGATCTTTGAGGTACTGGAGCCCTGGAAGTCAGGGGCTGCATGGCTGCTGGATGCACCGAGAGCAATGGCAGGGCTCTACAGAGACGGCAGTGAGCCAAGGTCTGAGGCCGGGTGACAAGGGCAGGGACCCCAGCTGATGGCAACAAAAGCAACAGGGCAGTGTCCCGTCTGAAGGTCTGAGCTTCTGATGAGGTTGGAAGGCTGGAAAGAGGAGCAATGAATGTGGAGTCTGGGGGAGTGTGGCTTGAAGTAGGTCTCCAGGCCTTGAGATCTTCATGGAAGGGTCCTGGGGGACAGGCAGATGTGTGATGGCCAGAGGGACCGTGCAGATTGCAGTGGGCATGGCATGAGGAAGTAGGGGGCAGGGGCATAGTAGAAAAGTTTGGGTAGACAGCTACACCAGGTCCGTGAGTGTTCACTTGCTGTGGGGTCGGAAGTCCAGATGATGACAGATGCAGGGGTCTTAAAATCCAGGATCAAGCTGGATTTAGACAGATACCCACATGCTCTCCTGTGTGTCTGTCGTCACCCCTCAGTATCTGAGGAGGATTGCATCCAGGACTCCCTGCAATACCCAAATGTGTGCCTGCTCAAGTCCCTTGCATAAAATGATGTAGACTTTGCATAGAACCTATGCACGGTCTCCTGTATACTTTCAATCATTTCTGGATGACTTACAATGCTTAATGCAATGCCAGTGTTGTATAAATCACTGTTATACTATACAGTTTATGGATTCATGACAAGAAACATCTGTAGGTGTTCAGTATAGATGCCATTTAAAAAAAAATGCTTTCCAACCATGGCTGGATCCATGTGGAGATGGAGGGCTGGATGTACACATGGAGAGGTGGCAATGAGCCACCATCAAGAGGGGAAAGACAAACTCTCGGCCCCCACGCAGCCACACACTGAGTGTGTGATTTGTGCCAGCGCTGTGCTCCGCTCCTGTCTCTCTGCCTTCTCCCGCAGCCCTGTGGCTGAAAGCCGCACATCCCATCCTACAGCGAGAGCTTCCTCCACTGGAAAAGACCCGCGACTGCAGCACGCCTCGCTCACGGACCCCAGAACTGCACCCACCTCTTTCTGACAGCCGACTGATCAAAAGGCAAGATGAAATGGCTGCTTTGTGAGAGGCCAAACTGGTGCGCATCGGTGACATACTCTGGAGGCGTGTCCTCCACGCACTGTCCCTGGAAGAGACACATGGGGACACTCAGCTACCGCTGCTAAGACCCCGCTGAAGCACACACACGTTCCTCCATGAAGCAGCATCTCAGCAAGCAGCACTGCACTCACTCGTGTTTGGTTTCAGTCCTGCACTCATTGGGCCCCGTGTCTCCCTAAGAAGGCCGTGAGGCCCTCTTCCTTCCACCTGATCCCTCTCAAGCTCATTTGAGTTCCTATGGACACTTGAGTCCCTCCTACAATTTTTTTCATAGATTTCTGTATTTATTTGAAAGGTAGAGTCACAGAGATGGAGAGACAGAGACCTTAACCAGCTGGTTCACTCCTTAAATGGCCTTAACAGCTGGGGCTGGGCCAGGCCAAGGCCAGGAGCCTGTAACTCCCTCAGGGTCCCCCATGTAGACGGCAGGTGCACAAACACTTGAGCTGTCTTCTGCTGCTTTCCCAGGTGCACTAGCAGGGGGCTGGTTAGGAAGCAGAGCAGCCGGGACTTGAACTGGCACACATCTGGGATGCAGGCAGTGGCTTAACCTGCTGCACCGCAATGCCTGCTTCCTATGAATTTTCACCAGGGGCAAAGTCCTTGCTGTCTCCCCTAGGTCCCTGCCAGGACCCCAGGCTCTGGGAATGGCCAGGAGGATTCCTGTGGCAAAGAGCAGCTGCAGCACAGGCACCAGAAAAGAGAAGCCCCCATGCGTGATGGGTCTCACAGGCCTCGGGTCCTGAGGTCTTTGTGTCCATATGGACCAGAGCAAGGTGCACACAGAGCAGCTGGGCTGGAGGGACCTCCAGAGCCTGGGAGTCCAGGGCAGATGCTGGGCCGCCTGCGGGCTGCTTTGCAACGACGCTTTGCACAGCGATTCTGGGTTGAGACTCCCAATTCTCAATTTTGTGGCTTGGGGCAAGGGGTGGCAGACAGCGGACAGACGTGACGAAGGAAACTGTCCTGAGCTCCGAGCTGGGCCCTGCTTAGAAGGCGCTGTTTCTGGATGCCAGTGCCATTATCTGTGTTACTGGCGTGCACAGTTGCAGCAGAGCAAAGAGAGAAACCTGAGGGGAGGACAGGAAACAGAACTGCTATTAAAAACATGTGGCCCACGCTGGCTGTTCCTAAAGGGATCTTTTGTTTGTAGGCAAGAGTGACCTGTGCAATGGCAAACAAGCTGTCTCCGTGGATCCAGGCTATCACTATCGGGGCCTGCGATCCTTGCATGCAGGGCCCTTTGTCTGCAGGTTTGCTCAGAGAACCACCCCCTGCTTTGCAGGGAGCATCAGCCAGTTTATGTTGCCTCCGCAGCTACTTTTAACTAGACATTTCGAGGTGGATGTCGTGGTGCCGCAGGTTAAGCAGCTGCTGAGTGAGCCTACATCCTGTATCAGAGTGCCACCTGGAGTCTGCTCCTCTGCTCCCAGCCTTCTGCTAACGCAGCCTAGGAAGCAGCAGGTGAAGGCTCAAGCGCTTGGACCCCTGCCACTCATATGGGACAGAGTTCCTGGCTCCCGGCTTTGGCCTGGCCCAGGCTGGCTGTTGCAGGCATTTAGGGAGTGAAACAATAGATGGAAGATCTCTCTTTTCTTTTTCTTCCCCCACCCCACCACCACTCTGCCTCTCAAATAAATAAATCTTGTAGAAAAGCAAATACAGGTTTAACTTTCTCATACCAGAAGCAGGGCTCAGTCACCCCGACAGAGTTTCCAACACTGTCCCCACCTGAATGGCTCTAGGTGGCAGCCAGAGGTGAAAAGTCAGAGCCATTTCTCCTGCCTTGCTGGGGAGGCTCCTTTAAATGGGCCGTTCAGACTTCTGCCCCGGCATCTAAGGTGAGCACTGCGAGGTCACAGCCTGCCCTGGAACCCACGCCTGCTTACTTGCACCCACTAGTTAAAGCTACTCACAATTAAACCTGTTTGAAGGATGCCCTGAACCCAACAAAGGCAACCCAGGTGCCCATTTCCCCTTTCTCTCTAGGCGCTCTCACTTCTGGGCACACTGTATCTCTCTCCCGCCATCTGCGGGTAGAGAAAAACCTTCAACTTTCCCACTGTGGTTGTTTCAACGAAGCCTTGCCTGCAACCCAAGTCCTGATGGTGAGGCTGTCCAAGGAAGGGGCCCACACAGGTGGACGGCCTGCTGCTGCTCTTTGTGCGATGGCTGCTGCCAACAGCGGCTCCCAGCTCTGCCATGAAACATATCCTGGCCCTGTGCTTTTGACCATGGGAGGATGATCCCCTTGAACCACTTTTGCAGGCTCCTATGAAAACTGGCTTCTGGATGTTCTGCCAGCAAAAGCATGGCTGTGAGGGCTGAGGGTGGGTGGGGGGAGGAGGTGGGAGTGTTCCTCCCTCTCCTCCAGCACCCAGTGACCTCCCTGTGGTTCTGTTTGCCCCCAGAAGGCTGCTCTGCTCCATCTCTTCTCCCTCAGGCCACCCCGGCTCCTGGGCACTGCTGACAGCTCCCCCTCTTTGTTTCCTGGCTCTGGTTTCAGCTCCCACCGCCTCTACGACTACTTCCCATTTCAGTCTCTTCAGGTGTGAATTCTCTTTCTGCCCAGGCCTGACCGATATCATTGAAGAAAGTCACTCTTACTTGACTAAATAAAGGCAGGGACTCTGGCAAGAGCTCACTGTCCCCTCCATGAAGAGTCAGCAGAGGGCTTTCTGACAGCAAGCAGGTGTCCAAGTCCACTTGTTCGTAGCCAACCGCACCAGTGAAATCCAAAAGTCTAGATACAAACAAGAAAATGTTTTCAAAATTAAAGTAGTATAAACCAATACTAGAACCAATGTGGTGGGATTACTGTACAGTTAAAATCCATCAAAATTACATTTCTCTCATCATCATTATTCGTCATTAATATATTTCTCTGATATCTTCACTGATTTCTTATTTAGGGGTCTCCCCTTCCCGGAGGTCCTGAGCTACCCTTTACACAATGGTGTGGCTTTTCTGTCCTGTGCCTGCACGGATCCCACAGGTACTTCCCCAGGACACAGCTGTGAACCACACAGAGAAAGTTTTACCCTAGCAGGTTCACAGCTTCAGGAGAGTGACGATGCCTGATAACTAGTTAATAAATGAAGAGACAACTGGGTGAACATATGTACTGTAAGATTCTACAACTGACTGAATCAGGGCTCTGATAGTGTCCTTGTGTTGAAACCCATTGCTATGCTTTATTCTAAGAGGTGACTTCACAGAGACAGACACTGTGACCATGAATGACCCGAGTCCTTGCTCGAGGTCACAGGGCAAGGGCAGTCAGGGCTGTAGCTTTGATGGAGCCTCCATCTCTTGATACTGAGAGCTTTTCAGTTTCTCCTGGGCAGACTCTGGCCCCACAGGGCAGAGCACAGCTTCTGCCCCATTAGCAGCTGACCAAGGCAGAGGTGGGGGAGGAGGCGCCTATACTCATTCTAAGGGGAACCTTAAGGAATCGGAAGCTCCTGGTAGCCCGGTTGCAAAGGCTCCTTCAAATCAGCTGCCAGAAATTTGCCAGAAATAGCCAGAAATTTGAAATCATGAAAATGTCTACATTTTAAAAATGCATGTCAAAAACATATTTCAAGCTTGGCTATTTATTTACGATGACTTGATCTATACGGAGGGAATTTTCATGAAAGAACAATGGGGCTCATTTTTTGTTCAGGGACTCGCAGACCCATTCAGAAAGTTCAGAAACAAACTGAGAGCACAGGTCACTTACTCCATGTCAAAGACCAGGTTCCTGATGCAGCCGTGGAATGAGCTCCTCACTTTGAGCACCGCTGCCCCCTCGGCCTCTGGAGCGCCCCCTATGTACAGGTTGGACAGATTCATTGTCCTGCTTTCTGCTAAGGGGCCCAACTTCATTTCTACAGGATGGGCCTCATCCAGTTGGACAGTAATGATTCTAAAAGATCAAAAAAGGCCATATGAGCTTTTAAACATCATGAAACAATAACTCCATTTTTATACCTAGTTCCACCAAATTCTTACTGAATAATGACAGTTTCTGGAAGATACATTTTATTTTTTTATTTTTTCTATTTGACAGATAGAGTTAGACAGTGAGAGAGAGAGACAGAGAGAAAGGTCTTCCTTCCATTGGTTCACCCCCAAGTGGCCACTATGGCCAGAACTGCGCCGATCCGAAGCCAGGAGCCGGGTGCCTCCCCCTGGTCTCCCATGTGGGTGCAGTGACCCAAGCACTTGGGCCATCCTCCACTGCCTTCCCCAGGCCACAGCAGAGAGCTGGACTGGAAGAGGAGCAACCAGGACTAGAACCCGGCGCCCATATGGGATGCCGGCGCCGCAGGCGGAGGATTAGCCAAGTGAGCCACGGCATGGCGCCAGCTCCAGAAGATAAATTTTAACATGACATTGTACACAAATGACCAGCTGACTTTCAAAAATTAAAACTTGGAATTGAACATTCTCCAGCAATGAACAGAATGCTAGAAAATATTGAATTTGATCAGTTTTTGGAGAGGATTTTGCTTTTACCTTTTTACCAATGATGAAAACGTTCAGTGTACTTTTGAAATATTTGGTCTAAGGTTTGGGAAACATATAATCAGGAATGTTGATATAACACTACTCACTATTTTACTATTTGGTATTAATAAAATACAGTTTATTACTATTATCACACTATTTATCACAGAATTAATCTTTTGTAAAGATAATTTATATTAGGCCCTAGAAAAGGGCATGATTAAGGTTGTTCAATTATAAAAATTCCCCAGAGATCTTATTGCGAACAGATGAAATGGATTCCCAAGAAGAAATTCTAGCAAGGCTCTGGAATTATTTTGAAACAACAGAGACTCCGAATGCTCGCCGATGCACAGCAATTATCCCGATCATTCAGCAGCACAGGGTTTCCTAAGGGTGTTCCTCCTGGGGAACTCTCACGAGGCCAGCGAACCTCCCGGCACCAATGCCTCGCCCTGCACACAGTACCTGCGATTCCTGACCAAGGAGATGGAATGGTCTTGTCCGTCGCTGTAGGTACCCGTGGGAGCGTGCAGGAGCGCTTTTCTCAGGCTGGTTCCGTCCCCAGAATTGACGTGCACTTCCACATGGCCATCAACCAGCATGATGGCAAAGAATGGCTGGGAAGGTGGCATACAGAAGTTCCCATACAAAACGTGTTACTACTTGATTTAAAAGTTATTGTCTTTTAAAAGTTGTCATCTTAATGTGGGAATATTACCATCAATTAAGCAACCTGAAGAATACCATCATGTAATGCAACGATTTTATGATTTCTACAGTATTTTCTAATATCTGTTCATAAAAGTTATGTTCTGCATATGCTATTATCACTAAACATATCACAAATTTCCATTTTCACTTTGCCTTCCTATTTATTATGTATTACCCCAATGTACCAATAACTTGATATATTGTCATTTGTCTTTCATTAATGAAATTTTAACTAGTTTCTAATTCTTATTATCACATATATAATTATTGAAATCTATTTTTTTCCTGTGAAATGGTTTTTTTTTTTTTTTTTTTTGACAGGCAGAGTGGACAGTGAGAGAGAGAGAGACAGAGAGAAAGGTCCTCCTTTTGCCGTTGGTTTACCCTCCAATGGCCGCCGCGGCCGGCGCGCTGCAGCTGGCATACCGCGCTGATCCGATGGCAGGAGCCAGGTGCTTCCTCCTGGTCTCCCATGGGGTGCAGGGCCCAAGCACTTGGGCCATCCTCCACTGCGCTCCCTGGCCACTGCAGAGAGCTGGCCTGGAAGAGGGGCAACCGGGACAGAATCTGGCGCCCCGACCGGGACTAGAACCGGGTGTGCCGGCGCTGAAAGGCGGAGGATTAGCCTATTGAGCCACGGCACTGGCAATTAAATGGTTTTTAACATTTCTAATGTGGGATTAAAGGGTTTGAAAATGTTTAAAGCTCTTAAAAATTTTTTTTGCCACATTGAAAAGAGGCACAACAATGAATGACACCACCAGCAGAAATGGAAAGTGAGCATTCCAGGGTAGCTTTGCCAGCAGTGAACGCTGCCATTCGCTTTTGCTGGCTTAGCAAGCAAACTTGGATTTTTCCAATAACCCTATTAAGAACAGTAGAGGCAAATAATTTGGCAGTTCCTCCAAAATTAAACATAGGATTACCATGTAGCCAGCTATTCCAGGCATAGGTATGTCTCCAAAGAAGTAAAAACAGGGACCTTCCACACATACCTGTTCACTAATGTTCATAGAAGCATTATTCAAATAGGTTAAAAAAAGTCAGAAATAACCCAAGGTCTGTCAAATAACTAACAGACAGACAAAATTGTAGCATGAACACAGTGTGGAATTTTATTTAGTCACAAAAAGGAATGAAGTACATGCTACAGTGTGGCTAACGCTCCGATATGCTGTGCAGAAGACAGAAAAGATCACATATCATACTGATTCCATACACTAAGAAGCACCCATAGAGACAGAAAGCAGATTGGCAGCTGCCAGGACTAGGGACAGGCAGGTGGGGAGTGGATCCTTACTGGGTGCAGACTTTTAATTTGAGGGATGAAATATTTGGAAGTAGATCGAAAAAATAGCCTCACAATTTAGAGAATGCACTGAATCCATAATTTACTGGAAAATAATAATTTCACTGGAAAATGGCTAATTTTATATGAATTTCACCTCCATGGGAAAAAAAAAAAAGACCAGTGGACCCCACAGACTGAAAGTCATCATCAGCCCTTCACTGAGCATCTCCTGATGTATCTGGGCTCTGCAGACCGGTGTCCCATTCTGCCTCTGACTTGGAAGGACTGTGTGACCTTGAACATGTTAACCTGGCTTTCTAGGGGAGCAGGATTCCCTGGCCGCCTGTCTGTGCTGATGCGACAGCTGCATCTGTACAGCATCTGCCACAGCAGAGGGCCGTTCTCCACAATCTACTGCTGATCTGGGCTCCGCTTCACTAAGACCATACAGGAGCAGTCTGAAGTCACTTCAAACCACAGGACACACGCTAACCCAGGCCACAGCGAAGGGAAGGTATCACTCACACTCTTGAAAGGGGTATAAATATGAGTAACTGTCACCCTGCTCTCCTCGCCTGCTGCTGGCCCCTTGGGCTTGTTGACAGCCCACCTTGCTTTCAGCTCCTTGCCAATCACATCACAGAGAAAATCCTGACCTGAGCCAAACTTAAGGGTTTGCACTTTTAGCCTTAGGATGAAGAGCAATGGCCATAGTATGCAGGAGAAAGCTCAGTTTATGCTTTCTCAATGAGTTGTAATTAGAGGCAGATGGCCAATAGCTTTCTTATCAGTAGCCGAGCAACAGAGATGGATTATGCAGCGTAAGAAATCACTGATTCATGGGGAAAGATTTTCAGCAATAGTAACTTTCACTTAATAAAAACGCTTATCCATACACAAGCAGCTACAAGAATTATCTATGAGTCAGTAACTGTCCAATCAGCACTTCCCATTGTCACTTCTTTCCTGAGCTGGTGGCTCCAGGACACCACAGCTACTCACCATGTGCATCTGCAAGGGGCCCTGCTTCTGTGCCTCCTTGCCAAGGGCAGCCAGGATGATGCCGCTGCTGTTGGTGGTGGCAAACGTGACCAATAATTCCGATTCTGGCGACAAAGACTTGGGGGGCAGCTGAATGTAGCCACCTCTCAGGAAGCTCACGCTGTGAATAGGCTGGTCACACAGGAAGTGAAAACGCACGTGAAGTTCCCGTTGAAGGCTGGATCTCCCATGCTGGGGTACAGCTCGCTTTCCCCATCATCTCTTTCCCATCCCCACCCCCCAGTAGTTTATATCCTGGCACATTATTATGTTAGCAATCACTGAGCAATTTTTTTTTTTTTCTGACAGGCAGAGTTAGACAGAGAGACAGAGAGACAGAGAGAAAGGTCTTCCTTCCATTGGTTCACCCCCTAAATGGCCGCTATGGCTGGCGCACTGTGCTGATTCGAAGCCAGGAGCCAGGTGCTTCTCCTGGTCTCCATGGGGTGCAGGGCCCAAGCACTTGGGCCATCCTCCACTGCCTTCCCGGGTCACAGCAGAGAGCTGGACTGGAAGAGGAGCAACCGGGACAGAATCCGGCGCCCCGACCGGGACTAGAACTCAGTGCGCCGGCGCCGCAGGCGGAGGATTAGCCTAGTGCGCCGCGGTGCCGGCCAATTACTGAGCATTTTTAGAAACTCCAGTATTAATAACAACGCTTCCCACCTCTAGCACACAGCCTTTTCTCACTCCATAGGAATTTCTGAGCAAATCGAAGGTTGATCTGGATATTTCCAGGTTCTTGATGCAGCCCACATAGTTTTTGCTGGTGACGCCTTTTCTGTAGGGGAGGACATCGATTCAGACATTATAATTCTGGTTTTCAGAGAAGAAATATAAATGGACCCACACATACAGAACACCTGTTTCTGTGAGTCACTCTGCAGAAGTATCCAGGCCTCCCTCTAAGAAGCACAGTGAGAACCAAAGCTACACAAATACAGCCCTATGCAGTCACCTACTGACATGGCAGCCATCTCAGTTGGTCTAAGTACACTCCATGGGTGAGGTCTGCACAACAGCAAAATCACCTAATCACACGTCTCTCAGAACGTGTCCCTGCAGTTGGAGACACGTGACTGTGGTCTCCCTAGAGAAAGGGATCAGACTCACTTTAGCTACTTAGATCGCCACCTAGGTAACCAAATATGTTTATTATTTTTTCAGAGAACTCAGTGTCATTACAGTTTAAATACACTCATCACAACACAAGCCAATTATAACTACCTAGTCTCCATGTATTGCAGAACATTCACTTCTCTTGGAGGCAAGTGTGAGAGACTATCTTCCAAGGCCAGGTGGCCAGAGAAGCCACTGGCTGCTGTCCATACTGTATATTCATGAACTTCGTCCTAAAGGAATCGTTACATTTTGAAGTATAGGATTTCCCCAAATCCTTTACTTCAGCCTCCAAGTCAATAAATACAGTACAGGAACAGAGAGGGATTTTTTTCAACCAGAAGGTACCCCACAACTGGCTGGCATCAGGCTGTTAAGTGTGCAGGCTCTTGTTCCCCAAGTATGGAGACTACTTAGCATCTTCCACTCTTATGCATCTGCAAGTCACGGGAGAGCCGTGTAGAAAGATGGTCCTTCTCCATGTTGACCAATGAGCTTTGGTCTGTTAAGCAGCTACATGATCTAAGGTGTATTCAATCTTTCTGGATCTCTAATTCTTCCAGTGTAAATGAGGAGGCTGACCCTGGGGATGCCCAAAGTCCTTTCTCCTGGGACAGTCTGTGATTTGGACTTCCGTCCTATTTTCCAGAGTCTATACTGTGTACCATTCAGGCAAAGAGCGCAGGAACCAAGACACAGCTGGTGGCTGCAGGAAAACCCCTGGTGCTCTGAGAGCAGGCCCTGGTGCTGGGATGGGGATTAGAAGACAGGCTTTCAATCCTGGCTGGCTTGGAGGTGACCCACTCCCCTGAGGTTTAAACATATTCATTTCCAAGACTGGGAGGGGGGTGCCTGCAGCTACAAACTATGTTCCTTGCAACTTTCATTGATTGCTGGCAAAGAGCAGAGGAGGCGGGGAGAGTGGATCTGGACGCTTCCCGTAGTAGCTGGACTGGCTGTGCTTCTGTGACACACATTAGGATTTCATAGAAGAACTTGGCTTAAAGATGGGTATGGCTACCACATGTATGCTGGGAAACCCTGGACTGGAAGGCTCAGTTTGGACACTTGGGGATGCCACTCCCTGGAGACAGATAGGCCTTGATTGCTGACCTTTCATATGTGACTTCTGTTTTTTTTAACGATATGGAAAAATGTTAGTGTTTACTTTGCCCAAGCCAAAATCATAAAACAGAGAGCAAAGAAGCCACTAAAAGTTTATGCAAATCATAAAATCAGAAAGCTAAACAGGAATCTCTGTTATAAACGAACCTCATTGTCTCTCTCCCCTGCCATCATTTGTCAAACTTCCTGATGCTGGTCTTTCAGCCTATACATCCACTATTCATCCTAATTACACCAAGAGGAATGCAGATACGTCTTCAGAAAGCACTTTTTTTTTTTTTTTGGAAGGGGGGCTTTTAAAGAAATTCCATGATTTAAGTGTCAAGGAAGCAGGATGGAGGGTGACAAAGCAGGCTCTTCAAATGTAGCACATTAACATTTTTTGTATCTTCTAAAGGCAACAGATACAAAACCATTCGTTTTTCTGCAGAGGTCTGCGTCACTTCGCAATGAATATGGCAAATGGTACTTGGAATTGAAGTGGATGTCATGAGTTGATCTATGTCCCCTCCTAAAGAGGCCTCAATCCTCACCCGTGAATGTAGCCTACTATGGAAATAGGATCTCTGTGGAGGTAATCATGCTCAGACAAGATGCTTGGAATAGGCCCTAATCCAGTATGACTGGTGTCCTTACAGAAATGGGACATTCGGACACAGTGACAAAGGTATGCAGGGAAGAGGGTGGGTGCAAAGCCACGGGGACAATGCCACCTGCAAGCCAGGGAATGCCTGAAGCTCTCAGAAGCTGGGGACAGATTCTCACAGCACTCACTGGGAGGCAACTCTGCTTACATCTGGATTTCAGACTTGCAGCTTCGAAAATTGGGAGAGAACAAATTTCTGTTGTTTTAAGGCTCTGGCTTGTGGTCCTTGGGAGCAGCAGGGAGGAATCTTCACAGTTGGTAGCTGGAGACAGGAAATCTCTGTAGTTTAACACCATACCTTACAACTCTTGACCTCGGTACTCCCCCCACATAGATGGGATCCTTGTCTAGACGATTGAGGTCTGAGGATACTCCCGGAGCCTCGCCCTGCTTGGTTTCCTTATCACTGCTGTTATAGGCATCAATGACTGCCAGCAGTCCTGAAAGCAGAGGGAGAGAAAGAGGTAAGATAAAGAAAATTACTTTCTACATTTAAGTAAAAACACTAATTCCTGCCAACAATATTCATTTACAAAGACACAGGCTCTTGTTTTTAAAAGATTTATTTATTTATTTGAAAGGCAAAGTTAGAGAGAGAGAGGGAGAGACACAGAGAGAGAAAGAGAGAGAGAGAGAGAGAGCTTCCATCTACTGGTTCACTCCCCAAATGAACCTAACAGCTGGGGTTGGGCCAGTCCAAAGCCAGGAGCCAGGAGCTTCATCTGAGTATCCCACATGAGTACGGGACCCCAAGCACTTGTGCCATCTTCCACTGCCTTCCCAGGCACATTAACAAGGAGCTGGATTGGAAGTGGAGCAGCGCCCATGTGGGATGCCAGCACCGCAGGCGGTGGCTTAAACTGTTACACCACAAACACAGCGCCAACTCCAAGATATAGGCTTTTAAATTCTGCAGATCCAATTAGCTAATTTTCTGGACCATCAAAGGACAAATAAAAATCCTGTCTGAACAAGTCAACAAATGCAGAAAACATATTGTTTTATGAAAACAGCGTGTGTGTGGAAGAAAACATTATGTGGGCCAGCGTTGTGGTGCAGCGGGTTAAGTTGTCACCTGCGATGCCAGCATCCCATATAGGCGCAGCTAAGAGTCCTGGCTGCTCCACTTCCAACCCTACTCCCTACTAATGTGCCTGAGGAAGCAGTAGGAGATGGCCTGAATACTTGGGCCCCTACTTCTCTTGTGGGAGACCTGCATGCAGTTTCAGGCTCCTGGTTTCAGCCTGGCCCAGCACCAGCCTCAGCTGTTGCGCCCATTTGGGGAGTAACCCAGCATATGGAAAATTCTCTCTCTCTCTCTCTCTCTCTCTCTCTCTCTCTCTCTCTCCATATCTATCTCCTTTCTCTCTGTAACTCTGCCTTTCAAATAAATAATAATAAAAGAAAACAGCATGGATTGGATTCTCAATTCCAATTCAGCATTTAATATGAAATAACGCAGTTGCAAACCACAAATAGAATTATAACATTCCTCTAGAAAAATGTGGCTGATGTTGCTTAGTATTCCAACGGTAACAAGAGCTTTCAATTAGAATGCCATTCAGAAACCAGAGTAGAACAGTCTGCTGACTTGGAAAGATTTCTGACTCTGAGGGTCACCAACATCAGGTGAGTCCAGCCATGGACCTACCTTGCTTCCGGTTTCGCTGGAAAGCAATTTTGTACCAGGTTCCATTGTTATACCGCCTGTCTGTAGTAAGAGCAAGGGGCCCTGAACCCAGGTCGACTGTGACTTTCACTCTGCCATGCACCAGCTCGATGGATAAAAAGTCTTTCTGTAAAGAAGAGAACATGATTCCCCATGGCGCCATCTTGATCCCAAGATTTCTTTTCCCATCAAGTCAGAGATGATAGGATCCTTCCAAAGTCAAACTGGGAAAACAGAATCTGACCCCACAGCCAGGGGTCAATGCTATGAACTTAACAATGGTCATGAAAGTTTTCTAGAACTCTACCCAAATATAACTGGAGCACTACTCAGCGTTAGCAAAAATCTATGATTAGTAAAAGAAGTAGAATTTCTGTATCTTTTTCATTTAGACTGACAAATGGGCCAGTCCAAAAAAAAAAATGAAAGTAGAGGATTAGACAGAAATCACCCACACATGAGATTAAAATGGGAACATGAATTTCTTCTGGATAGAATTCAAATAAAAGACTATTTGTGGTCACCATGAACATAGCACAAGACATAGTATTTGAGCTCAAAATGTAAAAATAAACGTTCAGTTGATTTCCACAGTGACTGGGAGGCTAGTTTCTACTTGGTGCTCTTCTGTATTTTCCAAAGGCTCTTCAATGAATTTGGGTTAATATAATAAATAAATGATTTATGATGGGCAGCTGTACAGCATCCACATGTGTGACATTAGCATGTGCTCAGAAAATAGTACAGAATACATACAAGGAGTCTCCAGAAAGCTCATGGAAAATGCTTATGATTAAAATACTCTACATGGGTTTTAAAAAAATTTTTTGCACCAAAATACACTAATCTTTCCATTCCATTTCTATGAAGTGCCCTCATATGTATATGTCCTGTCAGTAAATCCTCGTTCAGTGTTAGTCAATTCACAGCAATCTAAATGTACACACACAGTAGGGCCTAGTGGCCCGGGGAGGCTCTTACGGTGCCATTGGAAGCCAGGTAGAGGAGCAGCCCGTTAGGCGAGAAGGTGCTGAAGAGCATCACGACCTGTGTCACGGTGGCCCGCAGCGTCTTCTCCACGACGGAATACCCACTCCCCTCGAAATAGAAGGAAGAGTCTTCACTCTGGGGGCTGCAACAGAGGAGAGGATGCACCAGCCACTGTCAGAGGACACAGAGAGCCGGCGAGCCATGTCCTGCACTCTGCCTCAACTAGCCCCTTCATCTGAGCACGAGTGCAACCCACAACACAGGTTGGACTGCTCTAATATGACCACGAGAAACGCTCTGAGTCAGACGTGATGCCAGAGACAAAGATTCCCACACTATGCAGGTTTACTTTATGCACAAAATGACTGAGAACTGTTGGATAAAATTACTTTCAGTGTCTATGTGTAAGGTGTGTATGAGACACAAATAAATTCTGTGTGTCCACTGTGGTCCCACACCTAAGATATCTCATTGTGTATCTACAGGTCAGAAAAATCTGGAATCTAAATCACTTCTGGTCCCATGCAATTCAGATAATGGATACTCATCTATATTTGAACGTACACTTGCCAGGCCGGCTCTGGGACACAGTGAGCTACGCACACTGCTGCCTACATCACTGGCATCCCAAATGGGAGTGATGGTTTGAGTCGAAGCTGCTCTGTTTCCAGCTCCCTGCTAATGTGCCTGGGAAGACAGCAGAAGATGATGGCCCAGAACTTGAGCCCCTGCCACCCATGTGGGAGACCTGGATGGAGCTCCAGGCCCCAAGCTTCAGTGTGGCCCAGCCCTGGCAGTTGTGGCCATTTGGGGAGTGAAACATCGAATGGGAGACCTCTTCTAACTAATCTCATCACTCTGTCTTTCAAATAAATAAATCTTTAAAATACACTTGCCATGAGATTTGGAAGCCAAATGCCCAGCTGCTTCATACAGAGGAGGAAGTGAACACAGGCAGTGGTTGTTGCAGTAAAAGGGAATTTTTTCACAGAAATAGATATTTCTACTTATCAGATAGACTTGCTTGTTAATTTATTCCAATTTCCTTTAATGCAACTGTGTTTCTTAAGGCCAATGCTTTCAGGATGATTTTTATATTAGTATTTATCAGCTTCTGCTACTCACCAATCCACCAGGCATGCTGGAGTTACAATGGAAAGCAAACACATGCTACCAGAAAGATCACTTTTCAAAATAAACAAATGAATGAATGAAAACCTGATGTCCTCAAAAATCTGCAGGTGAGTTTAAAGACCTGCGTCTTATGCTGAGAGAGAGGCCTGGCTGTGACAACACAGCCCGGAGCACCTATCAGGTAAGTGTGTCTGCTGGTATCCTCCACCACAGACGCCAGAAGGCTGACCTCACCCACCGCTCAATTATAAAGAATTCACCTGGAAGATATATAAATATATAATCATGTTTCAGAAAGACTTCTCTGGAATAGCACCAGGCTTGCACGAGGGTGGTTCTGGGCTATGAATTCAGCCTTCTTCCAGAGGAAGATGCAACAACAAACTCAATGACATGTCTCCAAGCAGGACAGCACAGTGGGTTTGGTTTCACTTCCCAGGATTTCAGTAACCCTCACTCCACTGTGTTCTGAACATGTGAAATGGAACATTCTAGAAATAATTCCGTGTGTTTTAGATCGCACACTGTCCCGACCCGTGTGATGAAATCGCAAGCCGTCCGCTTCCGTTCTGCCTGGGACTAGGATGGGATCCTCTGCTGTGCAGCATGTCCACGCTGCATGTGCTCCTCACCAACAGTCACGTCAGCATCCATTTCCCTTAGACCAGCTATCATGGGGCCCCAGAGTTTGTGCTCAAATAACCTTTGTTTCCCGTAATAACGGCCCCGAAGTGCGAGAGCAGTGATGATGACAATTCAGGATGCCAAAGAGAAACCACAAAATGTTTTGTTTCAGTGAAAAGATGGAAGTTCTCCACAAGGGAAGAAAAAACACCTAGGCTGATGTCGCTAAGGTCTGGAGCACAGGATATTTTCAGAGAGAAGCCACATTCATCTAAGTTTCATTACAGTATATAGCTATAACTTGTATTTATTATAAGTTACTGTTGTTAATTTCTTACTGTATCCAGTTCAGAAATTAGAATCTATCGTAAGTATGTTCGTACAGGAAGTAGCAGTACAGTCAGGTGCTGCATAACATCTCCAACCCTGGGGGAGCACATACAGGATGGTGGCTCCAGAAGATTCTACTGACTAGGGCCACACTGCAGCGTGGCAGGTAAAGCCGCCACCTGTGATGCCAGCATCCCGTATGAGTGCTGGTTCGTGTCTACTTGCCATTCAGCTCCCTGCAAACAGCCTGGGAAAGGCAGCAGAAGATGGCCCAAGTGTTTACATCCCTGCCACCCAGGTGGGAGACCTGGATGAAACTCCTGGTTCCTGGCGTTGGCCTGGCCCAGCCCTGGCCATTGAGCCATCCGGGGAGTGGACTCCTGGATGTAAGATCTCTCTCTCTCTCTCCCTCTCTCTTCTCTTTCTATGTAACTCTTTTAAATAAATAAATAAATCTTATTTTTTAAAAAAATCATATCGACTAATAACATCATAGCTCCAGAATATTTGAGCAACAATGAAATCACCTGATGGGGCCAGTGCTGTGGTGTACTGGGTAAAGCCACTGCCCGCAGTGCCAGCATCCCATATGGGCACCAGTTTGAGTCTTGGCTGCTCCAGTTCTGATCCAGCTCTCTGCTATGGCCTGGGAAAGCAGTAAAAGATGGCCCAAGTCCTTGGGCCCCTGCACCTGCATGGTTGACCTGGAAGAAGGTTCTGGCTCCTGGCTTGGGATCGGCACAGTTCCAGCCATTGAGGCCAGTTGGGGAGTAAACCAGTGGATGGAAGACCTCTCTCTCTCTCTCTCTCTCTCTCTCTCTCTCTGCCTCTCCTTCTCTCTCTATGTAACTATGACTTTCAAATAAACAAAATGAATCTTTAACAAAAAAAAAAAAGTCACCTGACGAGGCATTTCTCAGCCATGTCCTTGACAGTGATGTGACACTGCACGGTTGGGTTTGGTGTGTCCCAGTTTCAGGCTTCCCTGTGGGTCTGGGAATGCATCCCCCGCAGCTAGGGGTGGGAAGTCCACCATATAAACAAACAGTGAAATTGTTTCCACTAACGAAAAAACCAAAAGTGCAGCAGCTTGGGAAACTCAAGGTTTCAAATGTTGAGCTGCCCACTGTCCTGCTTTTCATAAACGTCTCTGTCTTGTGATTCTTCTAGGAAGTAAATGAGCTCTGAATAAGTTTTAGTAAATAATGAACTCGGAATAAATGTTTAAACCATGGTTTACTTTTAAGTCTTTGACTCTGAAACCTGCAGTCTTCCTAGAAGCCCACCCTACTCATCTACCTCCTGGCTGACTGCAATGTCAAGCACACAGACCCTAGAGCCAGACTTCTCAGGTTCAAATCCCAGTTCCCCAACCCACTAGCCGCAGGAACTTGGAGAAGCGACCTATCCCAGTAGGCAACGCTGTCCTCATCAAGATAGAATGACAGATCCACTTTGGGAGGGCCACATGCTCTTAGAACAGTGCCTGGCACACAGGCAGCGGGGAGCTCCATGTTAACTCGCGTTATTCTGCTGTGTCCACAGATCCTCAGTGGGCTAACATGTTGCTTATCAAAAGCTGAGCCACTGAGATGAGCTACCCCACCAAGAGCACACACCAAGAAAACGGTGAAGCCAGGTTTCAAAGCAAACTCCAGCAATCTGCCTCATCCAGTGTGCATGCCCCGCCCCCACCCCCTGAGCTGATGCACCCGCTGCTCATGAGCTGGGGTGGCAGCCAGGAGGAGGGATGGGCTGCAATGAAACTGACGGAAAGCGATTCTCCTGGGAGAGCTCATGCAGAGTGCCAATGGCATACATGGGGGCTTGCCCCTTGTCACTCCCCTGAGCTGTTCTCCCGGAGCCCCCGCAGGCTCCATTCCAGCCCACGGGGCTCACATGCTTCTCCAGTCAGCTCTGGGGCCGGTCCCCAGGCGGCCACAGGAAGATGGCTCTGAGTTGGCCTAGTTGAAGGCCCCAAGACAAACAAGGAGTCGGTTCAGCAAGGCACTTCGCTGACAGCTCTAGTCCATCCTTGAAAAGACTGCCCTCACTCCAGGGTACACTCAGGATCCCTCAGCCCTCACAGCTCTCGGCCCGGTAAGCCTGGAAGAACCTGCAGACCTCCGTGAGCCTCCCAGATCTCATGGCTGACACTGCAGGATCCCTATTTACCCGTGCCCACGCCTGTGCAGCAGTTACGCATGCGCCTGAGGTTAAGGCCAGGGCTGCAGGCCTAGGCTGCTGCTCCTATGGTTGCCCTGTGGCCATGGTGCATAGCACTTTTGTTTCTGTCGGAGTACTTCTCCCCAGACCATGAAATATCTGAGGAGATAAACTCCTGTGACTGTAGCCAGCAGAAGGCCTGCAACACCAAACACTGACCCATTCCTATGGCCAGTTGACTCTCTAACATGCGGATTATATCTGTTAATTAAATCCAAAGTTTTTTCCATATTTATCTTGATAAGAACTGTTAGGACCATGGGTTAACTCTGTAATATCCTTTAAGAATGTATAGACATGCTGGTACTATGTAAAAAACATTTAAGATATTCAAAGAAGAATATAAAATTTCAATTAATTTACTTGGCAAAGAAAGTCAAGTTAAGCACTCCTATAATTTTTTTAAAACACTCTAAAGAACGGGGCCAACCCTGTGGCATAGTAGGTTAACCCTCCGCCTGCAGCACTGGCATCCCATTTAGGTGTTGGTTCAAGTCCTGGCTGCTCCACTACCAATCCAGCTCCCTGCTAATGGCCTGAGAAAGCAGTGGAAGATGGCCCAAGTGCCTGGGTACTTATCACTGGTGTGGGAAACCCAGATGAAGCTCCTGGCTCCTGGCTTTGAATTGGTCCAGCTCTAGGGCTGTTGTGACCACGTGGGAAGTGAATCAGAGGATGTAAAATCTCTCTGTCCCTCCCTCTCTCTGTCTGTAACCGTGCCTCTCAAATAACTAAATAAATCTTTTTTTTTAAAAATCAACAGATCATACTAATGATCTGATAATGGCAAATGATACCAAGTAGAAGGTATCATGACTTCCCATCTAAATCCACAAAAATGGATTGTTACTAGAATTACCTTATTAACTCTCCAAGTTAAAGTTTTAGCTTTAACTAAAATGAAACAGTTCAAGTTTACAAACGGACACATAGAGCTCCACCTGTGCTTCCATCAGGGCTCTCCAAGTATCTGCTACGCAACATAAGCACCTCTGGGTGTGCTTGTTTATAAGGGGTTTGGGGTCAACTGAGTGGGAAATGCTGCAACCCCAGCCTCTCCCCAGGACGGGGTCACCATGCATACTAGCTATCAATGCTAGTTAAGGGCTTTAGCCTCTCACAATCAATACGTTTAATTTGTTTAACTCAGTGTTTCCCAGACATTTACGATCAGCAACCATTGTCTACTGCTGCATTTCTTTATGAGCATCTTACCAAACTAGTTTTCTTTACCAGCACATTTTTGGAAATATTGTTCAACATAAAACAAGCAAAGCAGCTGATTTGCTCAGTATGTAGAAAAGCACATTAATCAAACCACAGGGTGACTGAACTCATGAGATACTTTGGCCCTACAGCCGAAAACTTGACCTGGAAGTTGTCCTTGAATTAACAGATGCTGCCAACCTCCTCCTCATCTTTCAGTCCGAGGCCAAAGTTAGTGGAAATCTGATGGGAGGGCAGTCCCAAGAACAAAACCCAGTGGCCACATGGACAACCAACTTCCTCATCCAGCTGTAGGCTAAGGTCTTTGGCTTTAAGATGGCGCTGAAAGCATTCAAGGCAATGGATAAGCCAGTTACCCTGCCAATCATTCACTCTGTACACATGCATTAAATGTCACACTGGAGCCCATAGATGTGTATAGTCACTAGGTACCAATTAAAAATAAAAATATATGTATTTTTTTAAAAAAATATGAAAGTGATGGATAAAATACAGAATATTACAATGACTACAGTTCAGGGACATTTTCCATACTGGAAATATTCAATTTCTGTTAACAATTTTCCTTTCTAACATTAAGGCTAAAAATCTGGAGTCATGGAGGGATGGAGGCCGGGGTCAGGGAATTTTTCATGTTAGAATTGCTAAATTACTGGAAGAGTTCACAGCATAAGAAAAAGGTGGCAGTAATGCATGTGTTCAATCTCCTCAAGTTCTAGTGTTGAGACCTCACAGGGTCCCAACATTTTTTTTTTTATATTTGCCAGTTACAAAACTTTGCTTTCTCCATGTCTATCATCAGGAACATAATCCTGAGACCGTTACCTAGAAAGCAATATCACATCACTGCAGAAAGACGAGCAGTGGATATGGGTGTAGTGCTTCACATTTATAAAAAGTATGTTCACAGTCTTCATGGTATGTGTTCATCATGATAGTTCAGGGAGGAGGGTAAGACAAACACAATTACTGTTCCCCTTTTCTGGAAGAACTACCCCAAACCTCAAGGAGGAGAGGAGACTCACTACCCAAAGTACTGAAGGACATGTGGTAGAGACCTGGACCAGGAGCCCAAGAAACACACTCGGCACACTGTATTCTTTTTAGTCCTCAGGTTGCAATGCAATACTTGGCATCTAGTTGTAACTTTACAACAAGCTAAGAAAAGGGAAAGTAGCAACTAAAAGGCTTAACCTACAAAATACTAAGCTTTGAGCCAGGTGGGAAAGCAAATCTGACAATGGCACAATGAGGACCACCCATGAGCTTCTTCTTCTTTTTTTTTTTTTTTTTTTTTTGACAGGCAGAGTGGACAGTGAGAGGGAGAGACAGGGAGAAAGGTCTTCCTTTGCCGTTGGTTCACCCTCCAACGGCCGCCGTGGCCAGCGTGCTGCGGCCAGCGCACTGTGCTGATCCGACAGCAGGAGCCAGGTACTTATCTTGGTCTCCCATGGGGTGCAGGACTCAAGCACTTGGGCCATCCTCCACTGCACTCCCTGGCCACAGCAGAGAGCTGGCCTGGAAGAGGGGCAACCGGGACAGAATCCAGCACCCCGACCAGGACTAGAACCCGGTGTGCTGGTGCTGCAAGGTGGAGGATTAGCCTAGTGAGCTGCGGCGCCGGCCCACCCATGAGCTTCTAACTGTAATTAGAGTTGCTTCTAACCGACCTTGCCATGCTCAAAGTTAATTACAGGCATCCATCTGGAAAGAGCAGCCGTTATGTGGGAAAAAATTTATGTCAGATGTTATATTTCTCTAATGGCAAAAAACAATCGACTGTTGTAATTACTAAAGTGCTAGAAAACACGCCTTACATTACTGGAGCTGCAGTTATTTTGTCATAACGACGGAGTGTGGAACTTGGTGAGATTAAGTTATTAATAGCCTTCTGTTATATCAATTCATGCAAAAAAGAATGTTAGCTTCTCTCCATTTTGAAAAGCCTTTCCTTTCTAGATTTACAGAACTTGGTTAGGATTAGGGAAGTACTTTACCCACAAATACTGGCCTCATACCCAAACACATTCTCATCCTTGGAGATACCTTCAAAACAAAAATAGGCCATAATATACTCAAGACTTAACTATTGCTGTGTGAGACAGAGGTTATTTGAGAAGATTCTGAAGCTTCTAAATTTTATGACCCATGATCAAAGCATACAACGAGAGACACAGTAAAAAGGGCACTTTTTAAAGCATTACAAATGATATCTATAGTCCTATTAGTAAACCAACCCACATCACATCCTTCGTAATAAGATGACCATTATCACAAACACTATGCATACTTGATGCACATGTCAAATCTTTAAGCAGCTCTCAGACATCAAAGGAATAAGGCAGTGCAGGTTAGATTGTGGGGACATCTCACCTTCCGAAGCAGCCTTGGCACTGGCCCTCCCTTTCAATGTAGTTCCAAAGGCCAATGGATTTTCCATTGAAGAAAGCCTCACCCATGCAGCCTTTAAAATGAGTAACCTTCACAGCGGGAGATTTCTAATGCAAACAGACAAACATAACCCACATTCAGTTGGCCAAGAGGAAGGAATTCTCTAAATGCACAAAACTTTTCTCTGGGAGCTCAAATCTAACAGATCCGAATTTTGAGAGAGCAACATTCAGGAAAATGGCCCAGCTGTCATCACTGGATTCCCTCTAGTTAGGCAGTGGAGTCCCAGAATGAATGACAGCTGGGTGGGATCTTAAGTGATCAGCTCAGTTACCAGGGTCGTTGGATAGAAGTCCCTTTCCCAGGTGAGGAAAAGAGAATAGGGTCAGCAGTGAGGGCCCTGCTGGATGAGTCCCTCATGCTCCTGCAGTCACTGAATCAAGTCCAAGGAACTCAACTGTATGTGGGTAGGCGATCACCGACACAATGAAATAATGGGCTTTGTTAAGCACTAATTACTATCAGTCACCCAGTGGAATTAGAATACTGACAAAGGACATTTACAGAAAACAATATGGAGTCTTAAAGTTCTTGGATCGTCTTCAAGAAACCCAAATAACCAATGGAACCACTGGCTCCTTCTTCGTTCATCTACTTACTAAGGCTGAGCCTTTACTCTATAGTAAAGTCAATATTTTTTTTTTTTTTTTTGACAGGCAGAGTGGACAGTGAGAGAGAGAGACAGAGAGAAAGGTCTTCCTTTGCCGTTGGTTCACCCTCCAATGGCCGCCGCGGCTGGCGCGCTGCGGCCAGCGCACCGCGCTGGTCCAATGGCAGGAGCCAGGAGCCAGGTGCTTTTCCTGGTCTCCCATGGGGTACAGGGCCCAAGCACCTGGGCCATCCTCCACTGCACTCCCTGGCCACAGCAGAGAGCTGGCCTGGAAGAGGGGCAACCGGGACAGAATCCGGCGCCCCAACCGGGACTAGAACCCGGTGTGCCGGCGCTGCTAGGCGGAGGATTAGCCTAGTGAGCCGCGGCACCGGCCAATATTTTAAGCATATTAGTTTTCTATGAAGGTAAAAATCAACCAATAAGTGCCTTCGCCATGTTACCTTGATTTGTCCTCCGAGCCCTCCGACAAACATCAATGTCGAGTTGTTTATATCTAGAACATTAGCTGTTCCAGGGGATTTACTTGTTTTCACCGGTGGCTTCTGACTTGAGCTCAATTCCTTTACACTCAATAAACCAACGTTTCCAAACCTAGGGATCAGAAGGAATTGCAAGAGGAACTTCCAGAATTCCAAGGCAGTACTCATTTATCCATCCCCATTCCACACACAGCTCTGTTTGCTTTTCCCTATGGACCCAACAGGAGCCCCACACTCTCTTGCCCCCCCCCCCCCATATACATTTCATCATATTATCTCCTGGTAAAAGTTACAGATAATGAGTAAAACTAATAGCCAAACAGTAAAGCCTACCGCTTTCAGTATTACCACATTTTTGTCTATAGCAAAGAGAAAGTATTCCCAGGAGCACAACATCAAGACTACAGAAAAGCAAAAAGAAAGCTATACCACAGCTGTTTCTACAGCTGCTTGCAAGTGGTTAACTCTGGAGAGGGGCTCTGAAAGGAAGAATTGTGCTTTGTGCCTGAATTGTAAGAAAATGCATTTCCCACTTGCATTATTTTCTATTCCATCCTATCTGCACAGACTGCCAGCCACATGGAATTGCTACCAGGATGCCTGCTACTCCTCAATCCTGGGGGGAGGAATAAACATTTTACCAGGTTTTCTATCTCAGACTTGGGACTTTCTAAAGGTCATATTCTGAAGGGAACCTAGTAGGCAGGTGCTTGGGCAGTGGTTAAGACGCCAAACTGAGTCCTGAATTCCATATTGGAGGGCCTGGTGTGAGTCCCAGCTCTACTTCCAAACCAGCTTCCTACTAATGCACACCCTGGGAAGGCAGCAGTGACAGCCAAAGTACTTGCATCTCTTGCCACCCATGAGGGAGACCTGGATTGATTTCCGGGCTCCCGGCTTTGGCCCAGCCTAGCCCTGGCTAATGCAGGCATTTGGTAAGTGAACCAGCAGATGGAAGAACTCTTTCTGTCTCTATCTCACTGCCTTTCAAATAAAATGATAATTAATTAATTAATTAAAGTAAACCAAGCTTTTATGCTTTTTATCTTTTGATTATTGATATGGTGGTCAGTGGTAGTTGGAAGTTTCTTTCTTCTGTAGTGGAGAAAAAAACCCAAACCTCTACTTTTTGAATTAATCTAATCCAAGTATTCATTGATTATACTTTGACTTTCTAGAAGTTTCTACTACAGAAATTTATACAGTGTTACAAGCATATAATTACTTATCAGACACTGCAGTTTAAAAAGGGGAGATGCTCTGAGCGTGTATTCTTTGCTACCTGGTTGCACGGATGCTGTGCCATTCGTTGTTGTCAATGGGGAAGTCAGGAAATTCCAGGCGTGTGGACCCGGAGCCCATATCCCAGAGGAAGGCCACCTTCCCTCGCCGCATCTCCACCGCAAGGAAGTCAGCCTGGGGCGCAGGGCATAAATGGAGACGAGTACACACTGAGTTGTCTGCACAGCTACCAAAAACACTTTAAAAGTAGCCCTCACAATAGTTTCCTTATGTTAAACAAAAATACACAGGGTCTGCTGTGGTGGCACAGTGGGTTAAAGTGCCTGCAACGCCAGCGTCCCATTTGAGTGCCAGCTGGAGTGCCAGCTGCTCCACTTCTGATCCAGCTCCCTGCTAATGCACCTGGGAAGGCAACAGAAGATGGCCCAAGTGCTTGGGCCCCTGCTACCCACAGGGGAGACCTGGTAGGGTTCCTGTCTCCTTGGCTTCAGTCTGGCCTAGACTGAAGTGGCCATTTAGAGTGAAGCAACAGATGGAAGCTCTGTTTCCCCACCTCCCTGCTCCCCATAACTCTGCTTTTCATATAAGTAAACAAATCCTAAAAAAGCCAAGAGCAGACACAAAAGGCTATCTTCTTTTGTCTGTAAAGGCCTTCCAGGAGCTGAGCCATAACTCAGAGTCCAGGGGATGGTGGCCAGACTGGGGTGTCCCCCAGTCCTCACCTGGCCTGGCCCTCCATGATGCCCCCCAGTGAGTACTGGGGGACCCCCAATAGTCCACAAGCAGTGTGAGGCAAGGCTCTAGTCTCAGGAGGCAGCAAATGGATGTGAGAAACACAGTAAGACAGACGCCAGGGACCCACACCACGGCCTTGTACAGGTTCTGATTCTTGTCTCTGGCATGCATTTCAGATAACACATGTACTTGCTAGCATCTTCCTTCCTAACAGACTCCAGGACACAGCCAGCGATCGCTGGTCTCCAGAGCTATCAGCACCTGGTAGGCAGGACGAGCCTAGGTGAAGCCTGACAACTCTGCTGCCCTGTCACCTCTGGGGTCACACACCAGTGATGTCCCCAAGGCTCTGCTATTCATGTCTCATCAAACAAGTGTCCGTTTGGAAAATCTATATGTTTACGAAAGACCCACTGGTGCTTCCACTTACGCTGGTGCTGCTTCCAAGGTAGAAGAGAAGGTTATCGGGCTCGCTTGTCTTCACATTCAGCGTTAAGCTGTTATAGTTCGTGGAAGAGATGGGAGGCTGGTAGGCCCGGATGCAGTCTCTGTCTGCAGATACGGCGACCTTAATCTGCGGAAGGAAAAGCCCCACCGCCCCTCTGAGTGACGCACTGGGCAGCTCCCCAGGAGTGCCCAGCGCTATTCCCTAAGGCATTTCCCCTGAGAGGTAGGTTTCTTCTCTGCATGATACATAGGGAATGTATTCCATAAAGTGAGAAGTCCGATGTGAGAAACGTGATTTTATCTGGTAAAGTGTTTAAACATGGGGAAAATTTGTCTTCCTTTTCAACAGGTTATTGACATTGGAAACTGGCTCACAGGAGGTTTAATTCCTTAAAGACAAAGGACCTCATCACCTTGGAATCTTCCAACCTGACTCAGACAGGCTATGTGATGGTCACGTGGCCCATAAATGGCGGGGTAATACACTTGTGTTTACTCAGTAAGTACTTATAGAGCAGTTATTGCATTATCACTCATCTCTTCAATTAGTAATAATTTGCATACGTGTCTTACATTAATATGAAAGATTATATATTAGTATTAACCGTAGTATTTGAGACCAGCTCTTGGGCTTCCATTTATTTAGTGACTGTACCGAAACCGATGGAGGTCAGAGACCATGTAAAGCCTCATTTCTTTTCTAATGCGAGGATGCATGGTGGTGAATAGATTCCAGAACTTCTTATTTATTTATTTGATTACCTAGAAAGCTTCATGCAGATGAAAGAATGAAGCTTTCTTCATCAAAGGCTTTGTTCACCCTCAGTACCCAGAACCATGACAACTGCATGTGCTCCTGAAAGTCTTCTTATTTCCCTGAAACTCCTCTCCTAACAAGTGCAGCCAGCACCACGTGCCGTGTGCACAGGTGGCCATAAAACATTTCTCTCGATGGAGCTTGTCCAGGTTTCAAGTGATTTATGCATTTTGTGGCATGGATTAGTGCAGCAAGTGAGTGTATACAAACTTTTCTCAGACTCTTTGAGAATGCACAGACGTCCTGCAGAGTACTTGGATTGTTAAAGGTGAATTGGCAAAAAAGGAAGGAATAATCACATGTGTAAACAATGAAACTCAGAGTGAGGTTAACACCTACACTCATGGATTTAAAAAATGTTCACACCACAATAAGGATCTTTTAATTCCAATTTTCCACTAACTTTTCAAAGTATCCTTGTATTTATAAATGTAGGCTATAATTATATCTCTAAAGGGATAAAGATCTCTTTGCTTACATTTTGAGACACAATGAGAAAAAGAAGAACTCAGGAAATGAGGCTACTTATGGCTATAAATGCAAGACAAGACCATGGGAAACCTGGGGTGATTGCCATCTGGTCTGCAAACCTTTTAGGGGACCCAAGTTACTACAGGGGATTCCCTGGGACCCCCAAACTCACAGAGGCTGCTTGTTTCCGGGCCTGACTGATCAGCAGCTTGATTTCCGACAGGTTTCTGCTCAGGTTCTCTTCTAAGAGCTTCAAAGGCTTCAACCGATCGAATAACAGGTTGGCTTGTTTTTCCACATCTTTAACTTTTCTTCCAGCCAACAGAGCTAAACAAATACAAGGAGGCAAGGGGGTGGTAGGGAAGTTGGGGAGAGGGAGAGAAATAAGATAAATAATTGCTTACTACTAATACACCAATAAAACAGAATCATCTAATCCTCAAATCCTCGAAACTGTAGTGAATACATGAAAAATACGCCAGCAGCATGCATTATCAAGGCCCTTCTTCTTTATAAATGCTAATTCAGATATGTTGATATATAAATGCTAATTCAGCATGTTGGTTTTTTAGTGACATTGTTTGCAAACACTGTAGAGTGAGCGAGCCCCCATCTTCACTACATAGATTTCTAGGGTTGGAGGGAAGACTCTGGCATACTGGTCACGGTGGAGTCCCGTAGAAGTTCATGTGTCTCCTGTAGGGTAGCATTCACTCGGGACAGGTCAGTTGACGTATTAAACACCTTCTGGCTCAATCCCACAACATCCTTCAGTGTGCTCACTGCTGTCTGGTTGGCAGATGAGGCCAGCTCTTTGGTTTTGGTTCCTTTGTCTCTCACACCTAAAACAAATGCAAATGATGGCAATCACACACAATAAAAACACAAGATTGCACCAGGAGTGATTTTATACAGACACACGTTACAGTAATTTTATTGATTGTTGAATGCAAAATGGAGCTCCTTGTTTTCAAAGATATTATTAAGGCTACAGACTATATGCTCATCTGTCTCCTTTTAGGGACAAATGAAATACTTTTGGTAGCAATTCTCTGGAATATGATTTCAATGCATAAGAAGACCATAAAAACAAAAGCTTTATACTCCTGACCCACCTGCAGAATTAACAGCTTTCTACAGAGTTTCTATAATGAAAGTTTTCCACTAAGATTTAGTGCCACTCATTACAGAAATTAAAAGTATTATTTAGATTGCTTGCAGTCTTTTATTTGCTTGTAGTCCTTCTTGCTGATATTTTTCTTAAATTGCATGTCTAATTTTAAACTTATTTATTTATTCAAAGGCAAAAAGAGACAGATCTTCCATCCATCCACTTGTTCATTCCCCAAATGCTTGCCACAGCTAAGACTGGGCCAGGAGCTGGGAACTCTGCGGGGGTTTCCATGTGGGCAGCAGGGACCTAACTACTTGAGCCATCACCTGCTGCCTCCCAGGAGTCACATTAACAGGAAGTTGGAATCAGGAGCAGAGCCAAGACGTGAACCCAGGCTCTCTGATATAGGACTTGCGTGTCCAAGTAGCATCTTCACTCATGTCAAATGCCTGCCCCTTCATGCTCAATTTTCTTAGGGCTTGAGGGTGAAGAACTATTTAAAGTGACAAAATAGCAAGAGAAAATATACTAAGTGAAATACAAAAAATTTTACAGGAGTCTTAAAAAATGAAGAGGGTTTCATTAATTGGTGATGCAACTGGGAAGAATGAAAAGTGCATGCATGCAGTGTGTCAGGGCAGGGGGCAGAAAGACTGCAGGAAGAAGGTACAGCATTTGGTGGGGCAGTTGGGACTCTGCTCAGGACACCTCATCCCCTGGGACTGGCTTCGGCTTGCCCAGCCCCAGCTGTCTGGAGGCATTTGGGGAGTGAACCAGCTGATGTGAGTTTGCCCCCTGCCCCTGTCTCTCTCCTTCTCTCTGCCTTTCAAATAAATAAAATGAATAAATTTTTAAGTATTCCCTTTCATCTATTTTCAAACATTATTGGAATAACTGCTGAAAACTTTCCGAATTTTATGAAAACTATAAACCCATAAATCGTTCAGTCTTAATCAGACTTTATTAAAAGAAATGCCCCAATTACTAAGTGCTCATTAACAAGCTAAACTTCTATATTGGGGCCTCTTTCTCTTCTTCATTAACACAATCTGCACATCATGCCACGTCGGGATGAAGGTGCTGGCACTTTAAGTCTGTAGTCGCGATGGAAGTCTCCTTGGCTAGAGGAAGTCCTGTTTGCTCACAGTCTCTATCGGCAGCTGGAAACCACAGCAGAATGGAGACTAAAGAGCCACAAAGGGTAAACTGAGACCCAACTATTCCAGATCTGGGTGCAGATTTTTTTTAAAAGGTATGATTTTTCATTTTTTAAGTGTTTACTCACGAATGGAGAAAACACTAACACCAGAAGCTGGATAAAGGGTATACATGTGCTCTTCTTACTCTTCTTGCAATTCTCTAAGTCTGAAATGACTTTCAAACAAAAAGCTATGTATTTGGAGCCGGCTCTGTGGCGTAGCAGGTAAAGCCGCTGCCTGCAGAGCTGGCATCCCATATGGGCACCAGTTCAAGTCTCCACTGCTCCACTTCCAATCCAGCGCTCTGCTATGGCCTGGGAAAGCAGTAGAAGATGGCCCAAGGGGCCCCTGCACCCACATGGGAGACCTGGCAGAAGCTCCTGGTTCCTGGCTTCGGATTAGCGCAGCTCTGGCCGTTGCACCCACTTGGAGAGTGAACCAGCGGATGGAAGACTCTCTCTCTCATTCTCTCTTTCTCTCTCTCTCCCTTCATCCCTCCCTCTCCTTCTCTCTCTGTGTAACTGCCTTTCAAATAAATAAATAAATAAATCTTAAAAAAAGTAAAATTATGTATTTTATCAAAACAGACCCTACTTTAAAAAAAAAAAAAAAAAGGAAAAGAAACTTCCAGGTCAGAAAATGCTCCATTGATTCCAGGTAAGAAGTATGCAGAATGCACTCAAAATCCAGCTTCCCCTGGAAACTCTCCCGGGGGAGAGAGGACCTGGGAGCAGGGCCCACAGAGAGGACCTGGGAGCTGGGGCCCGCATCTCTAAGACTTTTACAGACACTCTCTGGAAAAAGGAAGGCGAAGCTTGAAGCAATGTAAATAACATCTCAGCACAATTCATTTGTGTTACACTTTAACGAATTACCCTATTTAGTATTTTAATGAATACCGCATTTCCAAATCATCAATATTAAAGTGACCAATGGGCCTATTTTAAAACACTTTATTGCCTCAGGAAGGAAGTTTACCAAGCAAGAGTGTTTAATTCTCACTTTTACAATGAATCTGGCATCTCCCCTGAAGGCAGGTAAAGCATGTTCTATCTTCTTCCTCTGTTGGCCTCTTTGAGTGGCCCTGTTCCTTTGATGCCTTGTGTCAAGCCTATTTTAAAAGTAAGCAATCAAGATGGCAGCATGAAGTCTCTAACGCTTCTGTGTTTGAGGGAGAATAACTGTAGTATTTCAACGCAGGTGCTCTGAGGTTAATATAAAAAAAATGTGATCTTTACATCCAAATCCTAATTCTTTGCAAGTCAAATCTTCTTTGATGTCGGTGTCATTTTCCACCCTGACTAGGGCTCTTAATCAGACCTGAGGCAGGACTTCCTCAGGCTCTGTGTAAGGCTTCTACAATGAGATCAATCACATCAAGAAACACCTTCTACTTACTTTCAGGAATTGCTCTAAGCTTCAGCAGTAATCCACTGGTTTGCCCCGTGATGTTATCTGCACGCTCGTGAAATCTGTTTGCCGTATTTTTCAGTTCGCTCAGTTTCAACGCCATACCTATTTAAAGGAGGAAAAGATGTGCTCCCTTTCAGGTAAGTTCCTCCACAACATCACCTAGGCAACAGCTTCTTTATCACTTCTGACTCATCTGTCAGAATGATGGCTTGCTATAGACACCCTAATGTTGAAAGTTTTCCAAGCAAGACTCAGCGCCATTCATTACAGAAATTAAGACTGCATTTTCAGTGTGCATAATCCATTTTTCTACTTTGCTTGTTGCCCTTCTCATTAATATTTCTTCTTAAATTTCATGTCCAGTTTTATTAGGGCTCAAAAGTGCAGAACTGTTTAGATCACCTAGTCTTAACCTCTCCTAACTTCCTAGCCACCCTGAATCTAGGCATATTTCTCCTCTGGGTTGTTAAACCTCAACCTCCTTCAAGTTTGGTTAAAGCTGTTTCACTTTTAAAATTTCTGCTCATCATACAAATTCACATCTGGATTTTGAATGCATGGTTAAAACACGAAATGTTAACTGCCAGAAAGTTCACAATGTCATGGCCTAGGATGCATGTTAGCTAAAACCACAGCCCATCAGCCCTGATGTCAGAGCTTGTTTTTAACGCTTTATTACTTTAAGCATTTAATCTTGTTTTTAATGCTTTATGAGCATTAAGCATTTTCTATACTGTGAGATGATAACATAAATTCTAAAATATATCACTGACATAGAAGCAAAAATAAATATGACATATCCAACCCCTTGGTTCAGAGAGCTGGGGAAAGAGCCAGTACTACCCAGAAGCAGCCTGAAAAGGCTACAAGCTCTGTGTATGATTCACTAGTTAGTCCTACAGAACAAGTTTTGATTTTTGATATATTAGGATATATTAGAGCCAGCGCTGTGGCGTAGTGGGCTAAGCTTCCACCTGTGGTGCCAGCATCCTGTATGGGCACAGTTCATGTGCCAGCTGCTCCTTTCCTGGCCCAGCTCTCTGCCATAGCCTGAGAAAGCAGTAGAAGACAGCCCAAGTGCTGGGGCACCTTCACCTGCATGGGAGACCCAGAAGAAGTTCCTGGCTTCAGATTGGCCTAACTCTGGCTGTTGTGGCCATTTGGGGACTGAAACAGCAGATGGAAGACCTCTCTCTCTTCTGTCTCTCCCTCTCTCTCTCAAATAAATAAATGCATCTTAGAAAAAATAATATAGTAAGGTGAAAAGCATAGTATGTCTCAGGAAGAACTGTATGCCTATGTAGTTTCTCTTACACACTGGATTCCTGCCACCATTTTGTTATGCTTATTGGATAGTTGTTACATGTGCCAAGTAATGGATACCTGAAACTCAAGGAAGAAACTAAACGGCATAGCTATTTTTTTAAAAAAAATGGATAAAGTCAATATTATGATTTAATCCAATAATATGTAACATGAGTATACCATGGGTCTACCATGATACCAGTCCTGTAAGAAAGGTAAAAGAAATACCAAACACAATCTATCTCTTCAAGGAACCATGAAATGATGAGAACACTACAGAGCACATGCACTCAAAGACAACGCAACAGACACCATGAAGAATGGTGATGGCTCCAACTACAGCAGTGAGAGGAGAGTCTGGTCTTCAGGAGGGCTTGAAGATAGATACGACTGCCCAGTAGGGCACAACACCAGAAGAAAATGTGAAACCACACAAAGGCACTTCAAGAAATGGGTGGGAAAATGAACTTCAAGAGGCAAGTTTATATGAGTGCAAAAAAATTGAAACCATGCACAGTTTCTTCATACAAGCTTCATTTTCTTCATCTCTGAACTTTTTGAGGACCCTGTGTATATGTGGATTGGATGTGAAAATTCTTACAATCAAGATCAACATTGTTTGGTTTCATTTTCTCACCGCATTCTGAAGTCCCCTCACACGAGGTTGATATGGTAGAAAATTGGACTGTTTGTGTGACAGAAAAATGAGAAGCGTCCAGCTGCTCCAGGAAAGAACATTCTCAGAGAGGGGTTCGTTATCAGCTCAGGCCAAGCCACACACTGACCTTGGTGCTTCCGGCTAAGGTTGTTGCCTTCTTTGAGAAATTTGGAGCTTCGCTGCAGAGCCACTTTCCCACTGGAAACAAGGGACTCTGAGAGCTGAAAAACACAAGGACTTAAGCAAGACGGGTGGGTGGGAGGGCAGAGTGGAATCCTGCTGGGGGCAGGGAAAGCAACTCTATGGAACAGCCTCCAGTCACGTTCCAGACAAGAAAGCCAACCAGATAACAGGGGGACAGCTTACTATGTCCAAGGAGAAGGAACAGGAAGACATGTTTACATGCATCTAAAGGGAACCAGCCATCAGAGAAAGATTCCCGTTGCGGGTAAAGACAAATGTCTCTACTACATGCCAAGGAGCTTTTGAGAACTTCTTCATCCCTACAACACCAACCCCTAGTCTTAATTAAAAAAAAAAAAAAAAGTATGGGGCTGGCTCTGTGATGCAGGAGGTTAATCCTCCGCCTGTGGCGTCAGCATCCCAAATGGTGCCGGTTCTAGTCCCAGCTGCTCCTCTTCCAATACAGCTCTCTGCTATGGCCTGGGAGAGCAGTAGAAGATGGCCCGAGTGCTTGGGTCCCTGCACCCATGTGGGAGACCAGGAAGAAGCACCTGGCTCCTGGCTTCAGACTGGCACAGCTCCGACCGTTGCGGCCATTTGGGGAGTGAACCAGCGGAAGGAAGACCTTCCCTTCTGTCTCTTCCTCTCACTGTCTGTAACTCTACCTCTCAAATAAATAGGTAAAAAATGCATATTTTTTTTTAAAAAAAAGTAGTTAGGACTTTAGGAAACTAAAACATATATCAGGTATCTTCAAAGTTAGTGGAAAATACACATTATCGTTTAATCCCATTTTTGAGGAGTTTTTGAAGTCCTCTTGTACCACACAATAACAGACACCATTCACACAGATTCTACCAGAAAAGAAAGTGAATGAGCATATATTTGAACCCCCGAATCTTTGCTCAAGCACCTTCTAGAATAACCTCCCACAGTGCCCAGAAAAGGAAGGCATATACCAAAGCCAGGGACATTCCTTACCAGGCTTGTCTTATTGACAGTCTCATGGGCATCGCTGGCCAGTTTGTCTGCTTCTTCAATCATTCTCTGAATGTTGGAATGGACGTGGACTGCACTGGTTGCATTCAAGGACACGTGTGTGACTTTCTCAAGGCCACTGTCAAATCAGCATAGTTAGAGATTTTATGATCAACAAAATCAAACTTGCAGTTCCACTCATGAACATTTTACGTACTTACTAGTCTTGAAAGCCTCCCAATTTCTCTCTAGAAAACTCACACCAGGGGCAAGTGTCTGGCCTAGTGCTGGGCCACCAGTTAGGGTGCTTGCAACCCACAACAGAGTACCTGGGTTCATTTTTCTGCTCTGGCTCCTGCTTCCTACTTCCTGCTCATGCAGACCCTGGGAGGCAGCAGTAATGACTCAAGTAGTTGGGTCCCTTGTTACCCATGTGGGACACCTGGATGGAGTTCCTGGCTCTCAGCTTCCATGTTGTGGGCATTTGGAGAGTGAACTAGCAAATGAGAGTTCTCTGTCTCTTAAATTAAAAAATCAACCCTCTTTTATAAAAAGGAACACCACCAATGAATAATAACCTGCGGCTTGCTCTCTAAATCTAAAAGCTTATCATGATAATACCCAGAATGGCCGTCCAATACTAAGAGTAGAAGCTATGCTATGTACCTTAGATAGTCATACATCACTTTCTACCTGCCACCCTCAACATCTCCTGATTTCTGTTCAAATTCCCTGCATATGTCGGGGTACTCATGCATGTCTACACAGGTTATAATCTCTCTGAAACACAGTCGTTACTTTGCAAAAGGCTTTCCTATGCACCATAAGAATGCTGGATCTTATCCCTCAACTGGAATACATAAGTTGATGAAATTCACTAGAGATTCTGTAGAGGAACAGATAATATTTCAATCAGCCTAACCTCATTCTAACAAGTGGGCAAATCACCCAGGAACTTGCCCACTGGTAATGGCCCAATTTCATCCAGCTCTCACTATCTTGAAAATGAAATCTGACAGTTGGCACATGTTTGCCTGCTGAGTAACCCACTTCGTTTTCTTTCCAAGGTTATTAAGTCAAGCCCTTCCCAGACCACACATCAGCAGTTACTGCTTGTGTACTTGCCTACTTGATTGGAAAAGTTGGTGAGCCAGAAATAAAATATAATAATATGATTTAACTTTGTGTTTCACACCAAATTGCTTTTACTACTCTTACACTAAGTAATAAAGATTTTTATCTAGCTCTATGTAGAGCCAAATATCATTGTCTCTTTTGGTGAATGATGAAAAGAGAGAAGCTGAGTATCTAACTCCATTTTATATGACTGATCCCTATGGTGTATGTACCTGTCAGTATTCAACTCAGCAAGTAATTTATGCAATATTCTGTCTCATATAATTTTAATTGCTTTTGTTGTATGAGTTAATCCTTCATGGCAGCATTTCTCAAAAGGAGAGATATTTACTGTTTCCCTTCTATAACACATACCCACACAAAAACCACTCATGTCAGCATATTCTCACTTCTTCCAGCCATCATTTATAACACATTTTAAAAATAAATTTACCACTTAACTCAGAATTGTGTAAATCACTGATAATACCTAAAACCATGTTTCCCATATTTGCTGCAAATCAGTATCAGCTAGAAGTTTTTCGGAAAAATTGCCAAGTCTAGGCTACATCCTAGGCCAACTAAGTCTCAACATTGAGTCAGGGCAGGAGATGAGGAGACAGGATCATCAGTGCTCACTAGGGTTCTTCTGGTCATTCCAATCAATGTGCAGATGAGTTTGGGAAGCACTGGCTTAAAGTTTGATTCCTGTTTAAAGGTGCTTCCAATGAATCGGAGCCAAAATTAATAATATCAAAGAATAATCATTATAATATCAACCATCCCCCACCCAGGTCATAAGCTCCAAAAAAGCATGATCTGTAACGAGACAATCTCCTTGTTCTACCCTACATGCAACCTATCAGGGTGCAGAGCACTCAGTCGGTACTTAAGCCTTGATGGCTTGAGACTGTAGCACACTCTTTGCTTTAATTCCTATCCAGCGCCAGATGCATTTTCCCAGCACATACTCAGGCCCAATGGTAAATTATGTAGCAGACAAGGGAAGAATCGATTTGCCTGATCCCAATACAGAAGTCCCCATTTTACACAAAGGATGAGCAGTGACTCAACACAGAGATGAAAACAGCTGTCCTGCCGAGCTCCCATCGAGAGATCACAGCCTCTCCAATTCCCACACGCCTGTGCACTAACCTGGCCAGAGCACCTGCTCGTCTCTGGAGCTCAGCTGCATGGTCCTCAGCTCTGTAGACAAGGTCAAGGGCTTTCCTTTTGGACATCTGCATGACCAGATCATCAACATGGTGCCTGATTTTAGCAGTCCACAGAAGTAGCTCATCCTGCAGATTCTCTAATTGCTGCATGGAGGAATTAATATTGTAAATATAGGCGCACTGCTCTCATAACACATGTGTGTACACGTAGACGAAGTGTGTGAGGATTCTTTGGAAGATGTAACGCGGCCATGCAAGTTGTAACTTACGGCTAGAGTATTTTGCATAGTGTCTGCATGTGCAGTGGCAGCATCTATCAGTGTTCTTCCTTGGGCAGTTAGCTTTGAGGTCAAGTTTTGTTCTTCTCGGACATGTCGCTTTTTATCCTGTAGCAAATAATCACATAGGGAGGATGCTTCGCAAAAGCAAGTCAGCTGCTGAACTTGGGTGCCTGTTGCTACATGCGGAGGTTAGCACTCATGAGTACTCACACCTCACACTGTAAGAAGTGTGATACTTCCTACACTGGAGAAGTGGGCTGCCAGCTCTAACTGTGCAGGGGAGAGCTAGTCAGACTCACCTTGAATTCTCTCAGGTTGGCCTTGACAATGAGCAGCAGGTGGCTGCTTTCCTTGGTCTTGGCCTCTGCATCCTGCACAAGGTCTTCTGCCACCTGCAGTTCATTGTGGTGCTTTGTAAGGACGCGGCTGGCTGCTGCTTTTAACGCCTCCAACTCCTCCTGTGGCTTTTGGAAAGCTTTCTGAATTTGGGACAGTAAACTTTCAGCAGCCCTGATAAATACAAATGGTTCACACAGTATGTTAATGAACACCAAAGCTCAGCTCTCTGACATGATAACGGAAGGAATTTTCACTTAGGCATACCTAGTTTCTCGTTTATTTTTATGCATTTATTTATTAAAGAATCTGAGAGAAAGAGAGGAAGACACGAGCAGACAAAAGGATTTCCCATTCACTGGTTCACTTGCTAAATGATCACAATGATTGGGACGGAGCCAGGAGGAAGCCAGGAGCCAGGAACATAACACACATCTCACCAGTGGGTGGCCACGACTTCACTGCCTGAGCCATCCTTTGCATTACCCAGAAGCTGGAGTCGTGGAGGGGAGCTGGGACTGGAACGCTGCCACTCCCGTATGGGATCCCAGACAGCATCTTAACTGCTGTACCAAGTGTCCTCCCTTAGTTTCTTCTTGAAATCATTCATGCTATGTTATAATGTTTTAAGAATAGAAACAATTTTTCAAGGAAGTCTACAGGTATAGTGTCGCTCCCCCTCTTCGTGGAGGAACGACACTAAACCCTGCGCTGTTCTTTCGTCTGCTCGGCCCTCCCCGGGTTCGCTGCTGGTTCTTCCCGGGTTGGCTACTATCCCTTCCACCTCCGTGGAAGGGCAGTTCCCCCTGGCCACATTCCCCACTTCCGCAGGGGAGCGGCACACTGCCGGCCAACTCTTCTCGGGGGCTGCACGGGTTCCCTTAGATGTTCCCCATAGATGTTCCTGGTGCATGCCGTCTCTCTCCTCCTTTATAGTCCTCCTCCGCCAATCCCAACTCGGCTGCCCACACGCCGAGTACGCTGCTCTCCTCCAATCAGGAGCAAGTCCTACAGTTAATTGGTTGAACTGGAGGCAGCTGTGCGGAAGCTGTTTACTTCTCTCCCAGCGCCATATTGTGGGAGAGCAGATGCATAGAATAAGTCTTAATTCCAGTAACAGTCTAGTCCGAGCTGCTCCCCACAGTATAGCAGATTTATATTTTATCCTTAACAAATTGTATTTGTTCACAAACTTCTAATGCATTTTAGCCATGGAATTAAAAGGATTGCATCTCAGTGAAACTGGATTCAGAAAATCGGAGCTACCTTCTGTACTTAAGCACAGGCCCTACAATCTTTCATGATGATATGGTAAGAAAGTGTAAAGAGGCTACTCAGTGATTTGCTATGAGTTCATCAATTTATCTGCATGATATATAGGGTGTATGCAGCTAATTAAGATATAGATTTTGTAAAACTTTCAAATCGCCAAAAGATAGAATTTGATAGAGGCAATTTTTAGAAAATCAAGTATTTTCCTATATACTTTTATGCTATCAAATTGCTTATTTAAATCATTTTGGGGAGCAGGTGTCTGGCCCAGCAGTTAGAATGCTCCGTGGGATGCCCACATCCCATTTTGGCATGCCTGGGTTCAGGTCCAGGCTCTGCTCCTGCTAACCTTCACCCTGGGAGGCAGCAGGTGATGGCTTACGTAGCTGGGTCCCTGCCACCCACATGGGAAACTGAGATGGAGTTCCTGGCTCTTGGCTTTGGCCTGTGTAGGCCTGTGACCGTGTAGGCTGCAAGCATTTGGGGAGTGAATCAGCAGATGGAAGTGCTCTCTCTCTCTCTCTCTCTCTCTCCCCTCTTCTTAAATGAATGAAAATAAGATAATACTTAAGACATTCATCACAACGTAGCAGAAAGGCAGTGTGTATTATTACCCCCAGTAAGAACTATGTGAAAATACTAAGAAAAAGCCCTGACAGGGAATTCCAAGCTCCTTTTATGTCACCATTCTTGTGTGTCATTTCTGCGTCATTTCACATCACAGCTTTCAACAAGGGATTGAAGAGGTGAGCTGAGTGATTCTGGCAAAATGTCCACCTGTCTTACAGTTCATGGCATCAGTAGCCACGGACCACATTTCTTCTATGAAAGTTAACTGCCTTATACTTGATCTATAACAGATACAGTACCATGAGGCTCTTTTGTTTGTGCTGGGTGGAGGTGTTCCAGAATCACACAAAGAAAGCAGAAACCCCTGCACAAGAGCATGAAGACAAATGATACTGACTGCACAGATCACGCTGGTCTGCAGTTGCGGGGGGAGGGACAGCACCCGATGTTCACCTGACAGCAGGGCCCCGCCCCCTCTCTTAGGACATGCCATCCCAGGGGGAGCACTTTCTTTCTCTCTCGCCGCGCCCTCTGCCTGGTGGTGCTGGGAACTTACTTGAGTTCCAGGGTGGCATTTTGGTGCAAGTGCGTGAAGTGTCTTCTCTGAATGGCTTCCAGCAAGGACGTCAAGTCCCGCTGCATACTCTGAAGGGTAGAATTGGGGAGCTGGAGGTCCTCGTCCCAGGTCTGATTTAAATTTGTTGCCTTCTTAAGAATTTCTATGGAGAAAACCCATCAGTCAGTTAGTCAGTCTCTCAAAAGTGGACAGTACTCGAGGGAAAAACCTAGAACCTTCTTTGGTGAGGGTTGTTCTGGCCACCTAAGCTGGACTGGACCTCAAGGCCAGGCCACCCTCTGCACCCCAGTGCACTCTGGACATCTTCTAACAAAACACTCACCAACCTGGCAGTATGGCTTGATTCAAGGTCAATCTCTCCAGGTTCCCTAAACTCCAAAAGGTCACGGACTGGGTCCATCAGGATTACCCGAGTGTTCCCTTGTACTTTGTAGACATTTGCACATTGAAGGTTCTCAATAAAGACTCACTGCATGACTAAACCACTAGTACTTGATACTACTCTTAGATTAAACATTTTCCCAATAATTTTTTATCTTTTGCTCTATAAAATCTGATTAGCATTGGATTCTGTACTGTTTAAATCCTTATACTACAATCCATAAAGAAAAGGAAGAATCTTTTTCTGATAGCCAGAAAACTGAAAATAGTACACTAAAAGCCATAAGTGCTCTAAAAAGAGGGGACTTAAAAAGTCTGAGGATAAATGGAATTAAAGTCGTCCATTTTGGTGCAATACCTTTTGAAATCTATGCATAGTTTTATCAAAATCCGCACTTTCCTTGGCCGGCGCCGTGGCTCACTAGGCTAATCCTCCGCCTTGCGGTGCCGGCACACCGGGTTCTAGTCCCGGTCGGAGCGCTGGATTCTGTCCCGGTTGCCCCTCTTCCAGGCCAGCTCTCTGCTGTGGCCCGGGAGTGCAGTGGAGGATGGCCCAAGTGCTTGGGCCCTGCACCTCATGGGAGACCAGGATAAGTACCTGGCTCCTGCCATTGGATCAGCGCAGTGCGCCGGCCGCAGCACACCAGCTGCGGCGGCCATTGGAGAGTGAACCAACGGCAAAGGAAGACCTTTCTCTCTGTCTCTCTCTCTCACTGTCCACTCTGCCTGTCAAAAAAAAAAAAAAAAATCCGCACTTTCCATGAAGTGGTTGAAGGCCCCCTGTACTGTGGATATTCTCTGGCACCAAACTGCAGCCCCAGATCCCACCAGCACCTACTCTGAGCCAATGCATTGTGGGGTACCACATCAGCTTTATCACAGCGTGCTTTGGGAAGTAAGGATTCAAGTGATAGACATAACAGAGAGATTAAAAGGAAACAGATACATAAATATGATACATAAAGCTCTCAGTAAAAGTCTATGGCCTGGGACCAGTGCTGTGGCACAGTGGGTAAAAACACCACCTGTGATCCTGGCATTCCACATGTGGGCTAGTTCGAGTCCCCTCTGTTCCACTTTCCATCCAGCTCCCTGCTAATGTACCTGGGAAAGCAGCAGAGGATGGTCCAATTACTTAGGCCCTTGTACTCATGTAGGAGACCCGGAGGAAGCTCCTGGCTCCTGGGTCCTGGCTTTGGATCAGCCCAGTTCCAGTGATTACAGTCATTTGGGGAGTGAACTAGCAGATGGAAGACCTCTCTCTCTCTCTTTGTAATTCAGCCTTTCAAATACATAAATAAATCTTTTTTTTTAAGTCTATGGCTTGCACATTTCAGGATCCTTAAACTATGGAATACTCCAGCCACTTGGTTCTACGAAGCCCAGTGCAAGACACATCTAGTTGTACATTTAGTAAAGTGAACGTGACTCTACCAATTAAGCCCAGGTCCCTCCCACACTACCTCTGACGTCCATCTGCAGCCTCTCAATGAACGTGGTCAGGTCCTGACTGGCGTTGAGGATTCTCTCAGTTGCCCTGTTCACCTGCTGGCTACTTGTTAACACTCTGGTGAGCTGCCAGAAAAATCAGGCCTCAGGTTAGTGACTTCAAATAATATGCAAGCCTTGGTATTCCAGCTGTTATCTCTGCTAAGCAACAGAATATGATTCAGAATGCAGAGTAAATATGCACACTCATGCACACCAAGGTTAATATTTCTAGGTTGGAAATTGACTAAGTGGCTAATGAAATAATACATGGTTCCCCCAGAGTGAGAAAGGATGCGGTTTTCCCCCAAGCGCAGCCTAATGGACCACCACCAAAGGGATGATTCTCCCAGCATCTACATTGTGAAGGCCTCCGTTCACGTCAGGAGTCACAGGCAGTCAGGGGCACATTGAGAAACACGTTAGGAGACGCTGCCATTTTGTGATTGTCATACACAGTGCCTTAAACAAACCTTCATGCCACAGCCCGCTTCCTGTACACCTGGAATACACTATAAATAGAGGCGTTTCCAAAAGTTCATGGAAAGCAGAATTAGAAATTCATCTTGGTGCCCAAAATCTTGAAATCTATGTGTTGTTTTTTCAGAATATGCATTTTCTGTGAACTTTCTGAAGAGCCCTCATTTATACATTTGGATTTGCAACTTCTTTGGCACAAAAATAAACTTATCTTTTAATTCCATTTTCCATGAACTTTTGGACGCTCACTCGGGTATAGAATAGGCCTATTTCTCCTAGGACCATGGCAAACAAAACAACATGAGATTAAACTACACACAATTAAATTACTCCAGCCATCAGCTCTCGGGACTCATGAGATGCATGAGGCTGCTGACGGCACAGCACGGTAGGCTATTTTACAGTAACCCCAAAATAATGATAAAGGCGCAATATAGTGAACACATAAGCCAGTAACCTAGTCACATGTAATCAAGTACAATGTACCATACGTTATTAGACTGTTATACACCGGGCAGTGCAGGGCAGTCATGTGAGGTATGCACTGTGCTGGGACATTTTGTCACCAGGCCATAGCGTTTTTTTCAGCTCCATTGTAATCTTGTGGGACCAGAGTCAGTCAGGTGGCCTGTCATTCTAACACATCCTTAGGCAGTGCATGACTACATACTGAATACAGAAGTCAAACCTTACTCATTTGTATGGCTGATGAGAATCTGGGGAGTCAAACGCAGGCACTTTGAAGTGGGCCAGGGTTGTCCTAACCAAGGTTTGACACAGGGGTAGGGAAGTCCAGCCCAGGGGCCGTATAAGGCCTGTAAAATCATTCATTCTGGCCCTGCTACATCAACCACAAGAGGAATTCGAAATTCAATAAGTATATAGCAGGTTCATTTTTAAGTTGACAACTTTGGTATGGCCTGCGAGTGAGTGATGTTATGAATGCCCACATGGCCCTGGGCAAAAAGAAAGTTCCCCACCCCTGGCTTAACAGCTGGACTCAGGCCCACTCCTCAGCCATCTTTTCATCCTGGCCCTACCCCTCGGTTCGGAGCAGACAACGGAAGACAGCAAAGCGAATGGCTGATTCCTCAGTACAGATGCCTTTTCCCTGGAAACCACAGAAGCTGGCCGTGCTGCAGCTAACCTGAGATAAAGAAACGGGAGCCCAGCTCCTGGAGCCTGGGTCCGCCAGATCTGATGGGAGTGGAGCTCCGGGCCACCCCCGCAGTGGCTCCCGGGGCTGGGCTCGGGGACGGCCTCTATGGAAAGAATTTACCTCCGCTTGCAGGTCGTCCGTGTGTTGTGCAACATCTTCAAGTTCACTGTTGGCCAGTTCCTTCTGAGCGTTTTCTTTTAATAAAGATTTCTGAGAAGAAAGGACACCAATTACAACACTTAAAAGTAAAATGTTCTGGTTCTTAACCAAGAACCACTTGGTATTGCCTTTGTGGCTCACAGAAAAAATTCTTCTTTCCTGGAAATTGCCATTAAAAAATAAAACAGATGATATTTACTTAAATTCTGACTGCAGCTACCTGATTCCACACTGTCATCGGTTGCATTACATTTCCTATAGAGACATCAATTTAAAATCTGGTGTGTTAAGCAGAATCTGAGACTGCTGCAATTCTTAGAGTCATATAAATTTTAATTATAATCACCAGCACCTAAAAAGCACATATCAGGCCAGCATACAATAGTACTTAATAAAGGCCTTTAAAAGTATTAACAATTTAGTGCTTAATTTTTGCCAACACTTTTCTAATTTCTTTTCTTATTTGACTTATTTAAACCTTATAACAAGTCTATGGAGTGGTTACATTGCTGTTTAGGATAACTTGCCCAAAGTCACGGTGTTGGTAAATAATGAGAAATAACAAAGTCCACACCCCTAACCTCTGAGGAATACCTTATATAAACACAAAATGTTACATAAAGGAATGGAAAAGTAATTTAAATGACAGAAAATCATACAAAATTAGTTTAAATCAAGTATTTATCCCACTCAATACATCTAAAATACAGTTGCATGCCCAAGGCCCAATTTGCCAGTAAACAGTATTTATTTATTGTGTATGCAACAATTGGAAAATACATTTAAATATTTCCTTTATTTAAAAAAAATTTCAGTATAAACAGAAATTTATTTTTCTAATTGTTTCATTTTTTGAATTTTGTATTAATACAAAGAGAACAGATTTGATGCATTCCATGGGTACAGTTCCAAGCAGACAGCCACACTTCCCTCAGTCCCCTGCTCCCCTCCATCCCCCCTCCCTCCCTCCCTCTCGTCAGCAGTTTTTACAAAGACACAATTTTAATCCACTCTTGATTCCCAGGGTTAATTCACCACTAATCATGATATTCAACAAATAAACAGTAATAAGACCACAGTTCCACAGGAGTATAACATAAGCTAAACATGACCTCTCATCTTTCAAAAACTTGCTTGCCATTGGAATAGAAATAACATAAAAATATCCCTTGGGATTTCATAACCTTCCTCCTCTGCCATTATAGAGAAAGGACCACGATCAGCAAGACTGGATCACTGAGCCAGCCCCACCCAACACACACACCGCATACACCACACACAAAATACACACACCACAATGCACACCTACCCACACCACATACCATTGACTTTTATTGTTTTTTTAAAAATTAATTTTCATTAAGTGATCGCTGTTAAATAAAAGTGGGAGTAAGAGAGGGAAGAGATGTGCAATTCGGGACATGCTCAAGCTGACTTACGTCAAACGGTAGAGTTAGAAACATACCAAGGGATTCCAATTCAATCCCATCAAGGTGGCATGTACCAATGCCATCTCTCTAGTCCCAGTGATCAATTTCTGTTCACAATTGATCATAATGATAGGACTAAGAGCCAAACGGAGAACATAAACAAGACTAGTGTCTGCAAATACTAGCTGATAGAATAAAAAAGGGAGAGAACGATCCAACATGGGAAGTGAGATACACAGCAGACCCATTGAATGGTAGATGTCCTAAACAGCACTCTGGCCTCAGAATCAGCCCTTAAGGCATGCAGATCCGGCTGAAAAGCCCATGAGAGTATTACAGGCATGGAAAGCCAAAACACTCTGGCAAAAAAAAAAAAAAAAAAAAAAAAAAAAAAAAAAAAAAACAAAAACAACAACAACAACAAAAAAAACAAAACCCCTACCTACATGAATGATCTCCGCGAGTGAGATCCCAGTGAAAAGAACGGGTCATCAAAGAAGGAGGTACCTTTCTCTGAAGGGAGGAGAGAACTTCCACTTTGACTATGACCTTGTCTAAATATGATCAGAGTTGGTGAACTCAAAAGGCTTCCATAGCCTTGGCGACTCATGACAAGAGCCTAGGGCGATTACTGATGCCATAAACAAGAGTGTCAATTTGTTAAGTCAACAACAGGAGTCACTGTGCACTTACTCCTCATGTAGAATCTCTGTCCTTAATGTGCTATACATTGTGATTTAATGCTATAACTAGTACTCAAACCATATTTTTCACTTTGTGTTTCTATGTGGGTGCAAACTGTTGAAATCTTTACTTAATATATGCTAAACTGATCTTCTGTATATAAAGAGAATTTAAAACGAATCTTGATGTGAATGGAAGCGGGGAGGGAGAGGGAAAGGGGAGGGTTGCGGGTGGGAGGGAAGTTATGGGGGGGGAAGCCATTGTAATCCATAAACTGTACTTTGGAAATCTATATTCATTAAATAAAAGTTAAAAAAATTAATTTTTATTTATTTGAAAGGCAGAGAGAGAGAGAGAATCTTCTACTCCCCAGTGGCTGCTGAAGCCAGGAACTAGGAATTCCATGCTGGTCTCCCACGTGGATTGCAGGGGTCCAAGTACTTGGGCCATCTTCTTCTGCCTATTTCCCAGGCACATTAGCAGGGAGCTGGATCAGAACTTGAGCAGCTGAGACTCAAACTGGTGCTCCAAAATGGGATGCCTGGGGCTGACGCTGTGGCATAACGGATAAAACCGCTGCCTGCAGTGCCAGCATCCCATATGAGTGCCGGTTCGAGTCCCGCCTGCTCCTCTTCCGATCCATCTCTCTGCTAAGGCCTGGGAAAGCAGTAGAAGATGGCCCAAGTACTTGGCCCTGCACCCATGTGGAAGACCCGGAAGAAGCTCCTGGCTCCTGGCTTTGGATCGGTGCGGCTCCAGCTATTGCGGCCAACTGGGGAGTGAACCAGCGGATGGAAGACCTCTCTCTCTCTCCCTCTCCTTCTCGCTCTGTGTAACTCCTTCAAATAAATAAATAAATCTTTTAAAAAAAAAAAATGGGATGCCAGCATCACAATTGGCAGATAGCCTATTGTACTACAGTGCTGACCCTTATACGCCAACATTACCGTCCAGACTTATTTTCTGGTATCGTATTAGGACAGCTGTTTCCAAATACATAAAGGTCTGTCTTGATGAGGAATGAGAGTGGATGCTGTCTTATTCCAAAAGGCAGAACAAGGGGCAAGGGGTGGAATATACAAGGGGTCTTCATAAGGTTCACAGAAAAATGTACATTATCTCTTTTCTGCAAAAGACTTGTTTATTTATTTGAAAGGCAGTGTAACACACACACACACAGAGAGAGAGAGAGAGAGAGAGAGGGAGAGGGAGAGGGAGAGGAAGAGGGAGAGGGAGTCACAGAGAGACAGAGAGATGTTACATCTGCTGGCTCACTCCCTAAATGGCCACACCAGCCAGTACTAGGCCATACTGAAACCAGGAGCCAGGAACTCCATCTGGTTTCCCACATGGGTGGCAGGGGCCCAAGCACTTGGGCTATCTACTGCTGCCTTCCGGGTTCACTAGCAGGGAGCTGGATCAGAAGCACAGCAGCTAGGACTCCAACCAGCACTCAGATACGGGATGACGGCATTGCAAGCAGCGGCTTAACCCGCTGTACCCCACATTATCTTTTAATTCCATGTTCCATGAACTTTATGAAACACCCCCATACAGGAGGGCCTCTATGGAGCAGCTCTTCAGTAGTCCGTGCAATTTCACAGGGAAACCTTGGGTGAGAGGAGAGGTTTCAAGACTTGAAACTTCCCAGCGGGCAAGAGGGAAGTGAGGCAGACCGACAGCACGGCTCCTAACCCCATGCCCTCAACCCTACCTCCGTGACACACGCTTCCAGCCACCTCCATACCCCCAGCACCTACCCGGAGATCCTGAGTTGTATTTTCCAGGTTTGACAAAATTCCGTGTGGGAGAGAAATGATGCTGCTGAGGTTCACGGAAAGAATGGCGTCACCAACATTATCCAAGTCATCCAGCAGCACGCCTGTACACTCATCGTCGCAAGCTAGAGACAAGGAAAACAGAATCTGAGTTAACACAGAGCCGCCTGCCCATGGTCCCATAGGGCTCCGTGAGCCACTTCATCACCACGACCCAGATGGGCAGAGAACGTTCCATGACCCCCATGGACCAGCCCTGATGGCATCCTCACTTCCACTGAGTGATGGGTGATACGACAAGAAAATGCTCAGCCCCTATTACCAAATGAGGATGCTGACTCATACCAGAGGGCTGACGTCCCTGGTCCCGGCCGAGCCCAAGAGGGGCCCCGGTTTGGCACGCTCCATTATCCCGCTGCAACCCTTAGCAGCCTTGGCCCATCTTTAACTCATAGCAACTGCACTGGATCCCAGCCTGGTCTGTCACCTCCTCAGAGAGTCTGCAGACACATCCTTAGCAAGGGACAAATGAGGGACACTGGGGAGAACAGCAGATTTTGGGGGGCTTTGTAACAAATGCAAAAACAATAGCAAAGAAGTTTGCCAATGCCACGGTCTTCACGCTCCTTCCTGTCTTCCCCACGAACCACTGAGAAGCAAAAATTCCATGACAGTCAGGAGCTGAAGCCATGCTGAAATGTGGGCCACACAATCGACAACCCCACTGTGCTGTTTGCTCCCCAGTGCTGATTGGTCCTTGGCTCGGATAAGGGAGACACGAACGCAGCTAAACTATGACATTGGAGTTCCTGTACTTAGCACCAGAAATAAGGTCTGGCTTTCCAGAACCTTCAGCCTCAGCCTGAAAAGACACCACTGCAGACTCAGCTTGGTACAAGCACTAGCAATCTGGGCTCAGTTAAAATAATAAAATATCAAATGCAATAGGAGCTTCTGCTGTCATAACCACTTCTTTCCCCAAAAAAGAAAACACATGGGATTATGAAAATCTGTCTTCAGATATTCAGGGAGAAACCCACAGACACAGCTGCTCTCCAGCACCACGTGCCGGGGTTCGCACTGCTCGCATCGCAGCCCGGTGGCCCCCGGCCGGCAGACGCACTGCCCCGACTCGCGGTCACAGTCACTGTGAACAGAGCCCTGCAGGCTGCAGTCACACTTCCGGCACCTGCCACCCAACATCCGAGGGTTTCCGTGGTAGCCCGAGGAGCACCTGCAGGAAGGAAGAGAAGCGGGTATAGACAGAGGCATCCACACCGGCGAGCAAATACACAAACTAGCTTTTACCCTAAGAATCCGACCATTTCTGCCATTTGTCCCACAAAGCACACAAGTCCATTCGGATCAGGAGATCTGGTTTAGGAAGAGTACCAAGGTCCCAGATCTGTCGTGTGCATCCAAATGGATAAGGACTCCCAAATCATTGTAGTAAGTATGCCTGCTGCTTTATAAAAGCGGACGTGCCTACCGTGTCCCTGTGATGACTCCACGACATACCTCTCACAATACTGCCCTTCATAGCCTGGGGCACAGGCATCACAGCGCAGGTCACCATCACCTTCCAAGACGCATGTGGGACTGAAACTGGAAGAAAAAACTTTTTTATTTGCATTTTCAGATCTAAAACTTCAAGCCTTTCTTAATTATTTACTACTTATTACTCTTAAGATACACCCAAAGTTATTAGGATACTACTCCCGAAGTTGTGGGATTACACTGGATGATCAGGCAAGCTTTTTAAGAGTTTACAACCTGTTGGACATCAAGACGGAAAACGACCATGAAATCAGTATGATTACGAACCTATCATGAATGCCAAAGATCTTCATGAGACCCCTGGCCAGTGACAGCCATGTGAACCCCTCACTGGAAGGCAACCCTGAGGACTGTAACTCATTTAGTCTCCCAAAGAAAGCTTCCCAGCTAGAAAAGCTCTTGTTCTGAGATGTACATAGAGAATCACCTGGCCGAGCGGGTGGTAAGGTGCCTGAGCTTGCGCCAACATGAGAAACAGCAGGGAGAAGAGGGCTGAGCAGAGGCAGATGAACAGAATTTAACCAACTGCTAAGAGCGGCAAGGAAGACAGCCAGGGCAAGGAAAGCCAGGAGGCAGGTGCAACTAGACCTAAAGGTAGGAAGGGAGCCGTGGCAGGCTGGAAGATGCAAAGTGACAGCCACTGGAAGTTCAACAATGGACTACGATGCGGATTCGCAGGCTTCAGCTTGCTTCTTTTCTTTTTAGCACCTTCTGCCTCCACATTTTAAGTTCTTAAGGCACCATCTAGAGGCTAAGCCGGGTACCTGCAAACTACAGGAAAAACACCAAAACCCTACTGGAGTCATAGAGTTCCTATGCAGCTAGTAGGGAGAGGCTTCTAGCATGGTTGTCAGCCCCACGCCATGGAGGACTTTTTCCCTCCTAAAACAATAAAGGTTCAGACTTCAGTGGAAACAAACAAAAAAAAGGTGTGTGGGGGGGGGGGTGGGGGCAAAGTAGGTGTTTTATGGCCTCTCTGATCCAGAGCATACACCCCCACAATCTCTAGTGCAACTCTTAACTTACTAATGTGGGCTCTGGGGAGGAGTATAACCTTTCTTTGATGCATAAGGTAAAACAGTCAATCAGTGAGAGATGTGCAATATTATCCCCAACATTTCTCAAGCATAGTTAAGGATATGGAGAGCTACATGGATACGATTTTCTCCAACATGGCATGGTCAATCACATGCCTCCACTGGCCTTTTCTACAGCTCTGAACTGACAGATGCACCGTGCTCCTTTCTCTGTGTTTGGACATTTCATTTTAGGAACATATCACAATGTATATAACCAATCCTCTCCAGGTAGATTTTTTTTCAGTTTTACCCCAATTTCTTATGAGTACAAGCAATGCTAGAACACACTCATTTTTATACCCACATACAAATATTTCAATAGCACAGACCGGGGAAATGAAATGAAGTCTAAATTTATATAGAGATTTGACACACACACAAAAAGCAATGGAAACAATAAGTTTTAGGATTTTGATCGTTTTCAAGTGCGGTGTGTCCATGGTGTCTTTCCTTTGGGATTCACAACCAAACAGGAGTTACTGGGGACAATAAAACAGGAGAGTCAAAAAAATATTGAAAAGAAGCCTTCATTTTAGTACTCTAAAGAGTTGGCATCTGGTCTGTTTGTGTTCAATGCCTTCCCAAATATTCTAAGCAATAAAAAAAGTTACTTATGAATCACCAAAGAGAACCCATTGGTATTCAAATCTCTAGTCCTTTTCTGCATTCAGATGATTCTAGCCGCACAAGGTGGAAACTAGTCCCAATTTTATCACTGTGTAACATTACAGAACCTAATTAAGGACCAAACATATATAAGCTCTAAACCCATTTCCTTAAATAGAAAGTGAATACTTTTGCATCATTATTCAGAAAATTGATAACAATTTATCTCTATGCACACTGAGTTGGGGCCCCAAGTTGGGACAATTAGTTTTAAACAAACAAAACCTAAAATCCTTTCTCCAATGGGTTCATTCTAACTCTGAGTACCAACAAGATGCTTTAACGTTCAAAGATTCTCTTCAAATGCTTACAAGAGTGAAAGCTGTCTCTCAAAACCAGTCTTTCTCAACACATGGGGAATAGTCACTAGTACAGATGTCGCAGAGAACCTGGAAAAGGAGGCTGAGAACAGAAGGGGCCCCGGGCACTGAGGAGCTGGCGGGCCAGGCTGCACCTGTGTGGACTCACCTGGCAGGGTAGTGGTAGGGACAGGTGCATGGAGAACAGTCGTTGGCCAAGCCAATCACCTTCCCAAAATAGCCGGGCGCACACACGTCACAGTGGTCTCCAGCCGTGTGATCGCTGCAGTTCTGGGGCCCCAGAAAAAGAGAGGGAAACAGCTGTTAGAAATCACTCCTGGTAACAGCTAAGCAGTGCCGTGTTTCATATTAGCTAATGTTCACAATAAAATGCCTGAGGAAGGGGCAGTGCTTCTCTCTCTCTCTCTCTCTCTCTCTCTCTCTCTCTATATATATATATATATATATATATATATATAAATATCCTGGAAACATTTCTATCCCTGTGGCCTTCATGCATTGCAAGACTGCATTTCTCTAGCCCAGCCTACAAATTTCTAGGACGTTCTTCTCAAGGGAAAACCACACAGGGCCCCTAAAAGCAGTCAGCATTCAGCAGCTTAAAATATGGATCTAAAATGCACAGTGACTCCCAAAATGATTTGTAACACCAGTTTTGCACATAATCAGAGTTCAATGATCACAGCCAGGGAGTTGGAAGGGCAGAAGTGAATGGACAGACGACAAAGGTAACAGACAACAAGGGGAGAAAACTCGTGGTCCTGGACACCACTGGCAGACCCTTGCAATGACCAAATAAATCCCAGTGGAATTACAAACCGTCATTAGGACCTGTGGTCTTTCTATTCAAGAGTACATATTTTTTGAGTATAAAGGACAAGCGATTCTTGCCACCCCGAATCGATTTAAAAGCTGCTTTGCACTCTGGCCCAGTGCACCTGGCTCAGGTCTGGTGCAGCTGGGATGGAACTAGTGAGAGGATCCTCCTGCAAGCTTGCGAACCAACTCAGCCTCCTCACACTTTCATCCTCAGCAGAGACGGATGATGCAGCGAGAAATCTTTTCAACTGCTTAAAAACACTACTTTTAAGTCCCTTTTAAGTAAAAAAAAAAATCAGTATTTCTCATTTTAAAATTGTGTTCCTATTTCATAGGATGAAAATAGATTTCACTGGGATCCACTTGACCCCTAAAAATCCATCTCTGTTTGGAAGTAAAAACAGCAACCTCTTTTGTTAAAAGATATTGTTAAATGTTTGTTTTACTGACAGTATGAAACTGACCTGGAACGGATGCTAGATGATGAGAGAGAATTAAGGCCGATTTTTCAGGTTTCCCATTGCTAATACCAGTTCCAGCGTTAATAAGTTTCCCTAACATGCAATGGACTGTGGGCTTCCTGGTTTTCCAGATACTAAAGAATTGAAGACAAGTTATCCAAAAGTACTCTTGTGAAGCGACTACTACTTTTCATAACTAAACCTGAACAAGTGGATTATCTCAATGGCTCCAAAGAATAAAACTGCACCAACAGGTGCATGATCCAGGGGGTAGCAGTCTCAAGAAAATTCAGAGCTGCCCATAGTAAGCTGGGCTGCTCTGGCAGTGAGCTCGCTGCTATTGACGGCCTGTAAATGTATTAGGTAACCACTTGGCATGGATGCTGTCATTCACACCAAAAATTTGCAGGGTCTCTGATAAGAACAGAAGGGGTCACCACAGCCCTGAAATTCTCCCCTCTAAGCTCAGGCTCGATTTTCTCTCTAGAAAGGTCTTGGAGATAGGATTGGGCAGTAAGCAGTAACCAAGAATGAAGCAGCCACTAGGAGCAATTGCAGAACACAGAGCTGCAAAAAGGAGGGAAAACCCGAATCAACATGTGTTCTGCCGAGTGCCAGGAGACTGGGGGACAGTAGTCAAAAAGCAGAATCGTCACCCTGTTCCCTGGCGGCCTGTACAGCCACTGGTGTACGGAAACACTCCGTGACCAGGCCCAGGAGAGGTGTCTGATGGGGTCCAGGTAACAACCAGGTAACACCTGGCAAACCATTCTCACTAGAGCAAGGGGCTAGTTGGTAGCTAGCAGCCTTTGTGTAGCTGAGGCGGTCATTCATGGACTGGGTTAGGCAGGCTGTTATTTCTAGGGTACAAATCAACAGATGAGCCGTGACCTCATAGCTCTGGGTGGATTTGGGGCAGGAAAGCCAGGGCAGTAATTGAAAGGCCTTGGAATACCTAATCTCGTTAAAACGGCTACACCAAGGAAAAATGCAGCTTGACTGTCTAAGTGACCTCTAGTCCCATGATCAGTCAAGGGACCTCCCCAGCTAATTACATCCCATTTTATTTGCCTGAAATCCGTTCTCCTTAAATCCTGAAATGAGATCTTCTCATTTTCTCCATTAGCGCTTCACTTTTGCCTGGAGCGTGAGCTGATTAGAGTGAACGGATTTTTTCTAATAGTGTTGCAGCAATTAGCATCTTTATTAAGTCCATTTGACCGTGTTTGGCTGGAATAATTCTTTTATTCCACATATGCGGTGGAGGCAGCAAAGGTTAACATCTATCGTCTTCATGGAGGAAAACCACGGGGTTCCTTTGCTCTAAATTCACCTGTGCATTGCTGAAATTTAGCAGTTTTTTTCAGCAGAAATGGCCATAAACTCCCCATACAAAAGGCACCCCTGACTGAAAGCAGAGATGGATGGAGTGGGCTGAGAGTCAGTTGGGAGCCCAGGGACCTCGTCCCTCTGCTCTGGTCCCTTGTGTTCCTGGCCACACCCACGAGCTGCAAGGTTTCAGGTGCATCTTTGTAGGTGTGGGGGAGGCAGCTTGTTTCCCTTCGGTGAGTTCTTTACCATCGCAGGTTAGTCTCAGCACAATTTATACATAACCAAGGTTCTGCGTGACTGATTGTAAAGAATGAGATTTCAGGAGCAAGGAATAAATGCCAGGCTACTCTATAGTCTCAAAAGTCCTAGTTGGCTTAAGCAAAGTCATGGGTGGGAGAGTTGGTCCTTGGTCAAGGCCAAGAGGCTTCTGTCCGGTCACTTGGTCTTTTGCAGCGGGCAGAGCAATTCTTGTATCTCTGAGACTAATCCTGCTCACTGGGAGGTGGCTAACAAGCATACCCCTGAATAATGTACTGTGTTATCATTCCCCGAGAAGACTGTGCATTTAAACAAATGCAAGAAGGTAGTACTTTACATAGACAGAAATATTTCCAGTACTGGCATTAACTTATTTCATAACTTCAGGTGAGCCTCCATAAAATTCTCATCTCTTTTTTTTTTTTTTTTCAATTTCAGAAGGAGGGAGGGAGGAGCCAGAGAAAGAGAGAAAGAGAATGAGATCCCATCTGCCGGTTCCCTTCCCAGATACTGCAATAGTGGTCAAGTTTGAGCCAAGTCAAAGCTGAGAGCAAGGAACTTAACTGCAGGTCTCCCACATGGGTGACAGGGACCCAACTACTCAAGCTTTCAAGGTGTGCATACATAAGCAGCCAGAACCAGGAGTGGAGCCAGAACTCAAACCCAGGCACTCCAATATTGGATGTGGGTGTCCCAAGTATTCTACCAAACACCTGCCAGATATGATTTTTCTGTATGTAGGTAAACCTAACCTCTCACTAAGGCAAGCCAGTGGGGTGCCTAGACCAGAAGTTCAAGTACTCAGTGTCTACTGCAAATTTCAGGTGAGCACCCACACAAACGTACCAGACACTTTCCAGTTTCAGGGTCACAAGCATCACTGTGGTTGTTGCAATTGCAGGGCACGCAGGGAGCAAGCAGGGGGCGGGGCCCCCTGCTAGCACCTTCTGGGAGTCTTCCTCGGTGGTACCCCGGGCGCACAGTCCTGAGGGAACGCAACAGGGGAAAAAATGAACGAACAACCTGATTAAAATGCAGACAAAGGCTTTGCATACACAGTTCTTCAAAGAAGACCCACAATTGGCCAAGAAGCACATGAGAAGTTCAATATCACTGTCATTGGGAAAATGCAAGTCTCACCACAATGGCAGAGCAGCTGCAAACAAAACAACAGAAAAATCACAAGAGTTGGTGGGGACATGGAGACGCTGGATCCCTTTGTACCACTGGCGGGAACATAAATTGGTGCAATGACTACGAAAACCAGTATGCAGGCTCCTCAAAAAACTAAATTACTGTATGACTCCGCAATTCCACTTCCAGGTACATATTCAAAAGAATTGAGCACAGAACTCAGAGAGATATATGTGCATGCACACCCCTCTTTGTCCAGGGCTCAGTCTCTTGGATATGAATCCAACTGAGCCTCATGTCTGCATGAGTAAACCCGTTTCCTGCTAAAGTATCAGTGTCTTGTCTTTCCATTCAAGCACTCTGCTACAATCCTGCTCTCCCATGTAGGTGGGAAGGACCCAAGCACTTGAGCTATCACCTGCTGCCTCCTGGGGTTGGCATTAGCTGGAAGCTGGAATTGGGAATCAGAGCCAAGAATCAAACCCAGGTACTCTGATGTCAAACGCAAGCAACTTAACCCGTGTCTTAACAACTCTGCCAAATGCCCACCCCCAGAATTTCAGTTTTGCAAGATGAAAAATTTTCTGAAGACTGGCTGTGCAACAATGTACAACAATGACTGTGCCTAGCACAACAGAACGTAAGAACAAAGTCAAATTCGATGTTAGGTATTAATTCCAAAATGGAGAAAAAATGATATGATAGATGCACCCCTGTTCTGCTGATTGCTTGGCATTGCTGTCACAAGCACATTTTAACTCCAAAGTACGAGGAAGATTCTACCCGAACTCTTCCTTACCTGACAAGAGAAGCCGGCTGTGCCCGGAGGACAGACACAGTTCTCCAAAAAGGACGCCACCTCCGTCTCTGGGTGCAGCTCTTGAGCCTTCCTGCCAACTTCCAGGGAGATATTTGAGATTCTGTGCAGCGTTGAGAAATGCAAAAAGAAACAGTGACATTTGAAAAGCTTCCAAGAAACACGGCACAGGTTTGGAGCAGTTCCCACCCATGATTTCACAGTGAGGTCCCGGCCAACATGAGAACAATGCTACTGAAAGTACACCTGAAAGAGCTCTCCAAGTACTAGTCTGGCTAAGACTTACCGGCTCTCTGTACGGCTGAAGTATTAAATGGGCGGGTAACAGCATTCTTTATACATCGTCACAAAGAAATGGCCACCGTGGTTTTCAAGCACAGAAAATAGCATTTTTCTTTTTTACCTGTTATTTTCATATGTACTTCTGAGGTACTTCATTTTATAGCCACATTAGCATGGGCAGTAGAAAAATCTACATCATAACTCACCCATTCCATACTGATACTCAGACTTTTAGTAAGGAACAGAATTACTCCTAGGCTCAAGCCTTCAAAAGGTTTATAGAAATTGGAATTAAAAGATTAAGTTTATCTGGGTACAAAAAATTAAATCCACATACACAAGGAGGGGTGTCTTTGAAAAATTCATAGAAAATGAGTATCATAAGAAAAGGTTGTGGGGCTGGCGCTGTGGTGCAGTGGGCTAACGCCCTAGCCTGAAGCGCCAGCATCCCATATGGGCGCTGGTTCGAGACCCGGCTGCTCCACTTCCTGTCCAGCTCTCTGCTATGGCCTGGGAGAGCAGTAGAAAATGGCCCAAGTCCTTGGGCCCCTGCACCCACGTGGGAGACCCGGAAGAAGCTCCTGGCTCCTGGCTTCAGATCGGTGCAGCTCCAGCCATTGCGGCCATCTAGGGAGTGAACCAGTGGATGGAAGACCTCTCTCTCTCTCTCTCTCTGCCTCTCCTCTCTCTGTGTAAATCTGACTTTCAAATAAATAAATATTAAAAAAAAAAGAAAAAAGAAAAGGATGTGTAGATCTCAAATGTTTTTGAAACAAAATAAACTTGTATTTTAATTCCAGTTTTCCAAGAACAACTTATGTATTAATAAACACAAGGAAGTGAGTCCAATCCTTTCAGTCCCACTTCAAATAAGAAAATCATTCACAGTTCTGGAAGCTTCCATAGTACCTGCTCTGCTGTAGCCCTTGGCCATATGAAGCCTTGATGAGGATGTATTCAATGTTGCTAAGGACAGACATAAAATCTGAGCGTGTGACAGGTTTTTCAGAAACGGAATTAAAATATTTCCAAAAATTCTGTGGATGAGAAACATATGCAATTAAATCCAGAGAACAAACTCTCACAGGCATATGCTCTAACAAACAATGTGTTTCCTTGTCATAAATCTCTCCAGAAATGAACCTCGCTCTGTTTCACTCACAAGGTTCTCCTGGAACTTCCCCAGGGCAGTCTGATTTATCAAGAGATAGCACAACGCTTAAGGCAGTGCCTGGCACACAGTGAACGCACAATAAATATCTGCTGGATGGATGAACAGACACTTTCCAGACTGGAGCAAGTCCACCGACCTCACTTTCACATCCATACAGGTGACGCTAGTGTGCCAAGAGAAAGGATTGAAGATGCAATTCTCTCTAAATTAACATAAGCTTAATGCACAAGTGTTCCCTCCTTATCCGCAGGAGCTACATTTCAAAGTGCATGTCTGAAACCAATGGTAATACCAACCCTACATGTGCTATGTTTTTTTTTTTCCCTATACATGCATACCTATGATAAAGCTTAACTCAGAATTCGTCACGAGTAGATTAACAACAATAACATAATAATAGACTAATGTACTGCAATAAAATTGTCAGTACCACCACACTTGTACTTTGGGGCTATTAGCAAAATAAGTGCTACTTGAACACAGGACTGTTATTGAGACAGTGAGACTGATAACCCAGCAGGCTACTAAGTGACTAATGGGTGGGTAGTGTATACAGACAGCATGGATACACCGGACAGAGGTATGAGTCACATCCTAGGCAACACAGAGTGGGATGGTATGAAATGTCATCATGTTACATAGAATAGAATGCAATTTAAAACACTTGGATTATTTCTAGAATTTTCCACTTTGGACCAAGGTTGACCAGCAGTAACTGAACTCATAGAAAGGGAAAGCAAGGATTAGGATGGACAACCAGAGAACATGAAATTCAAACAGTTTTCATCAACCTTGCTAAACCTATGGGAAATTTGATTCCAGAGTCTTCCTGTTCGTTTGTTTGTTGGTAGCTTCATGCTTTCACTACACGCACAGGAAAGCTCGTACCTTTAAGGAACGCAGGAGGAAAGACCACACTGTTACCTCTTTCATTTCTACTTCTTGCTCCTGTCTCACTCCATTCTCCGGGGCAGGTGCGTCCATGTAAATGACGTGCTTTCTGGTCCGGCCTCCTTTGATGAGAACTTGAGGCTCCAAGTTGGAGGTGCCGATGCCATCGGAAGCATAGAAAGCTACACTGTACTTCAGTCTGCCACCATAGGCCAGGAGCTATCGAATGACAAATTGCTGCTTTACTCCTCTGACACAGCCTTGGGTTAAACACATTTCATTCTAAGTCTGTCATCATACAAAAGAAATCTTGTGTCATAAAAATACATCCCATGGGTGAAATATGTTGTCTGGAATTTGCTTCACTCTAATCTAATGATTAGCTTGACCCATGTCATGGTTCTACTTGATAATACTAACAAAGCTGATTTCCCTAATAACAAACCAGGGTGGCACTGGATATTCTCATGGTTTTCAAGGTTCTTTGAATTAAATATTATCTGTATCTATAAGAACACGGGATGCATAGTTGCAAATTGTAAAGATTAGAGTGAAATCGCAGATTCTGGTGTTAAATAAACAAAAATACAAGTAATTCAATTCATGATGGATGTCTCTTTTTTTTCCAAATGAATGACAGATTTTTTTTAAAAGGGCCACCTAGGCCATGGCTCCTGATATATCTCAAACAGATGTCAGTAAATAAAGTATATTTTTTGAGTGATTGCTTTAGGAAGGAGAAAAACAGCATGATTTAACTTTTAAAGACTTTAAAAATTAATGAGAAAATGCAAAGATTCATATATTTTGGGGAGATTTTTTTAGACAGGCAGAGTTAGACAGTAAGAGAGAGAGACAGAGAGAAAGGTCTTCCTTTTTCTGTTGGTTCACCCCCCAAATGGCCGCTGCGGCCGGTGCTGCGCAGGAGCCAGGTGCTTCTTCCTGGTCTCCCATGCGGGTGCAGGGCCCAAACACTTGGGCCATCCTCCATCACCTTCCCGGGCCACAGCAGAGAGCTGGACTGGAAAAGGAGCAACTGGGACAGAACTGGGACTAGAACCCGGAGTTCCAGTGCCGCAGGTGGAGGATTAGCCTAGTGAGCCACGGCGCCGCCCTGGGGGGATTTTATAAGTGTTAAATCTTTTCATCATCACATAGAAATATGTAACCACTTCTATTTGTTGGGTTTTCTTCTAGACAAATATACTCAGAGACAGAGAAGGAGAGAGAGAAAGAGAAAGAGAGAGAGAGAGAGAGAGCGAGAGAGCGAGAGCCCTTATATGTTGGTCTTATCTTCAACAAGAGGCTGGATCAGGCTGAAGCTGGGAGCCTGGAACCCCATCCAGGTCTCCCATGTGGGTGGCAGGGACCCAAGAACTTGAGCCGTCGCTTATGCCTCCCACAGGAATGTATAATTGGAAGTGGAGTGGCGACTTCCAACCAAATCACTCCAACATGAGATTCTGGCTTCCTACCCAGCATATGGACTGCTAGACCAAATGCCAGCCCCACAGAAATGTCTTCCAGCGAGGGGACAGCACAGACGACTGGGGTTTTAAATTATGTGCACATGGCGGAGGACAGGGGCCCAGCTCCAGCTGTGCATGTGCTTACCTGGTCTCCCTGGAACTGCTCCGACAGCCGCCAGTAAAACGGCTCTGCCTGGACATGGCGGCGGACAGTGACAGCGTCCAGCAGGATATCAGGGGTCTGGTAATGGACGCCCTCGGTTGTGCCCCTCAAGTTGCTCTGGGAGACCACACGCAGAAGAGGCTGAGTGGGGTCCAGTGTCACCTAGGCACGTGAGAACGTGAGTTACCCTCCACGGTGCTGGGTCACATTCCACCATCATCTCACCATGACCAAAACAGGAAAAGCAAACACTGGGTCGTTTAAACCAAACATCGGCTTACAGTGAACTGAAAGTGCCTTCAATCGCTGCATTTAGGGTCAAACGATTGCTCAACCAGGGTGACGTCTGACTGTACGAACGTGACGTCTGACTGTACGAAGGAGGCTGCTGAGATGCTGCACTTTCATCATCTCCCCAACTAACGTCTTTGAAAGATTAGCAAGGGAGCAAGACATGGCACGCTGCTCCATGTACAGGAATACTGCACAAGTTCATGAAAAATGAAATTAAGAGATTTTTATTGTTGGCACACAAATTCTTGAAATCCATGCAGTTTTTTCATAATATGCATTTCCCACGAACCTCTTGAAGACTCCTTGTCTGTATAGATTTCAAAATTCTTTGCACCAAAAGGAACCTATCTTTTAATTCATTTTCCATGAACTTTTTGAAGCCCCCGGTATGGTTTCTGATGCCACAAGCATAATATGAACGTTGTGTCTCGAGAGAGGCTGCAATGGGACATTTTCTGTGAGTGTGACTTACTGGCATCCTTACGTAACCCTCCAACTCGGAGCAGAGGTGGGACAGCCCGAAGCAGAAGCAAGGTCTGCACCCCAGGGGGTCGTCTTTGTGGAGGGCGAAGGTGCCAGCCCGACATTCACTGCACTGGAGGCCGAGCACATTTTCCTACAGGGGAAGGAACAGCGCACACTCATCTTTGCCTTGAAGGTAAGGAGACGTGATTTCTGAATGCACCGAAACAGAAGCAAACACAAATGCAATTTTCGAACCACAACACCGTGGAAACTCGCTGTCTCCTTGGGCAAGGTCCCAGGCCCCTCTGAACATCCGTTCTCTCTGAGACTCCACGGCTGAGCCCCGAACGTGGCTGACTCTCAGACTCCTCTTGGGAGCTTTTGGAAAATCTGGACTCCCGGATGCGAGTCTCCTGACCGCCCCGGAATTGGCCTCAATGTCCCAGGTGGCTGTGATGGCCAGCGAGGGTGCAGATCTGCTGACTGGGTGACCCTGCTGGTATGCTCATCTGTAGCGATTACTGCCACCACAGGACGTGGTAAGCCAAAGGTATGCAGACGGAGATGGATGTCTCCCTGACTCCCAAGCCATGACGCCTGCCTGAGTTTCCCTCCCTCCTCTCTCATCACCCATCAACCCATTGCCTTCCTGTGCCCATCTCATCAACCACAGAGAAAAGACCAGAGAGGCAGCAGTAGCCTCACAACGAGAAAGCACACGGGGGAACTGGAACAAAATAAAAGAAATTGAAAGCTTCCCTCCTGGAAAGACAGCAAACACGAGTTTCTTTCTGTCTTGGCCAGCAGCACACACAAAAGCTGAATTACCCCACAGCTATGAAATCACAAATCTTCTTGAAGTGCTGTGCCACGTAGCCTACCTACCAGCCATGTAGGGACTGGTGCACATGTTAGGAAACTCAGCATGTTTTTCAAAGTGATCCCATCATTGAACACTTGTAACACACAGCAGCAAATGCAATTCCAGAATCTTTCATGTTAGAAGAGCACAAGACACTGTATCTCAGATGCAGGAGTATGAACTCCTCGAGGGAGAGGTCGAAAACTCCCTGCTATTGCAGGCTGTGGAGGCGTGGTGCTGGGTCCCTTCCACACATGTGGGAGACTTGGACTGAGTTCCTGTCTCCTGGCTTTGGTTGTAACCATCCCAACTGTGGCAGGCGTCTGGGGAGCGGACCAATGGCTGGGAGGTCTCTGTCCCTGTCCCTCTGCCTCCAAACAACAATAGGAACCCCAGCTGCTTACTTAAATTGTCAAAAGCCTGAGAGTCATAATGGCAACAAAAGAGATAGCAAGTGGCGAGCTGACGGCAAATACCTTGCAAGAGCAGGCAGCGGTTTCCTCCGCACAGCTGCAGAGGCCCTGTTCCAGGTCGCAGGTGTCCGCCAACGTCCCCCTCAGGTCACAGTCACAGGGGACGCAGTCTGGGAAGTCTCTGTGCCCCAAGGAGCATTGATCACAGCTGCGTCCACCGAACGCGGACCTGCACGGGCACTGGCCAGAGATCGCATCGCACTGGTGAGTGGCCGACCCCACACGACTGCAATTGCAGGCCTGGGAGAGAAAAATGCAACCTTAACCAATGCGAAGGAGGTCCTGGGATGTCACAGGGTACACGCATGATTTACACTACGGGAAAACCCATCTCTCTCTCTCCCTGATGCTATGGGGATTCCCTTGGTCATGCGCCACAGGGGAACATTTGTGTATCTTACTGGGCATTTGTATATCTTAGTTACAGGTGCACCTTGGGCCCAAAGTAGAAATGGAGGTGAAAAGCATGCAGCAAAACTACTTTAGGGGCCGGTGCTGTGGTGTAGTGGGTGAGGCCGCTGCCTGCGGTGCCAGAATCCCATATGGGAGCCGGTTCGAGCCCCAGCTATTCCACTTCCAATCCAGCTCTCTGCTGTGGCCTGGGAAAGCAACAGAAGATGACCCAAGTCCTTGGGTCCCTGCACCCATGTGGGAAAACCCGGAAGAAGCTCCTGGCTCCTGGCTTTGGATTGGTGCAGCTCCGGCCATTGTGGCCAATTGGGGAGTGAACCAGTGGGTGGAAGACCTCTCTCTGCCTCTCCTTCCCTCTGTATAACTTTGACTTTCAAATAAAATCAATAAAATCTGTAAAAAAAAAAAAAAAGCTACTTTAGAAGTCAAGTGGATTTCCCCACTGTTTTCAAAATCCAAAATATATCTGTTTAATGAAAGAAAAGTTATGTGGCACTCTAAGCTCTCTAAGATGTGACAAGATCTCTGACTAAAGTGATTTACGACTTCCTCCTGGAAGACAGTACGCATTGCAGAACACATCTGAAAGGCACTGAGAAAGAAATTTAGATCTTCTAACCATTCGTGTCATAATCAAGTTCTTGATGAAATTCTAGAATAACGGGTTTTCTGGTGCTGCCTCTTCCACTTTGATTTCCTCAAGCTGTGAGGCGTTTCAGTATAAACCACAAGCTCTCCAATGGGGTGAAGTGATGGATGAAAGCCAGGTAAGCAAGGCCTGCCACGGCTCAGAAAAGGCACAGAAGAGAGCGCACCTGGCACCCGCGCTCCACGTCGTGGCCCCAGTATCCATCCTCGCACACTTCACATCTCAGGCCCCTGGTGTGGGGAGGGCAGAGGCACTCTCCGGTCTGTGGGTCGCACGTGTTGTGTGTATGCGCACAGTTACAGGCTGGAACAAAGACAAGCGCTCGTTACGGGTCTGGACCATCGGTGCTACTGAAGTGTAGGAGCTGACACTACAGTGATTTCCGTGTTATTCTGCATCTAGGTCATTCTCCTATTTCCCAAAGATACTTCATGACTCCGGAGGCCCTGTGTCAGGCGACACAGCTGGAGAGAGGTGACCAGGACAGAGTGGGAGGAGTAAGACGAGAAAAGGCCTTGAGGGGTGGGGAGAACAGAGCTGATGGTATTGATCATGTATCGCCTGGCAGATGCCGTGGGAGGGACGTTACACAACCTTTCCCCCAACTCCTTGATGCAGATTCTAATTAGTTTCTCCTTCTGACAGATGAGGAAGCCAAGGCAAAAAAAAGTAAAGACAGTAATCTGTAGGCAGTAGAGACAGAACACAAATGCACGTTTGGTCCCTGACCGGGATCAGGAAATGGAAACAAAAGGTCTAAAATTCTACCCGTAAAGAGGAGGAGAAAGTAAAGAGATTAACCGGAAGTGACTCAGGTGTGCAGGTCAGGCTCAAAGCGAAGCGTGGAATTGCTCTAAAGTCGCAAACGAGGAGTTGGAAAGCTTACGTGAGCAGCCACCATCCTGGAACGCATAGAAGCCATGTGAGCACCTGTCACACTTGTCCCCAGCCACACCCGGTGCACAGTGACACCGGCCTTCATCCGAGCAGTCATCCGACGTGGAGCCTGCCGCGCTGCAGTTACAGGGCAGGCAACCATGGCCCAGGTCCAGCCCATAGTAGCCAGGCTGTTGCAGGAGAGAGGAAGAGAGATGGGAGCCAACATATGTGAAATGCAACGACTGCTTTCCAAATCACACACAGGAAATTCACAGACCCATCAAGAATGCAAGACACAAGTCCACTCCTTGGCACAAGGAGCACACCCCCTCCGGACGGGCAAGATCTTCCTGCTGTCATGAATGTAAGAACAGACACCTCACCCACAAACACCCCGGTCCCACACAGTGCTGGCGAGCACCTTACCAGGCACTGGTCACACTGCTTGCCGGTCACATGGGGTTTGCAGCTGCAGACTCCAGTCTCCGGATGGCACAGGCCAGAACGTGAGCCTTTTTCATGGCAGTCACAGGCTAAAACACACACACACACACACACACACACACAGAGAGACACAAAACACAAATCAGTGGTCACTTCTGGCTGTGGTTATAGTAAGATCCTATAACTCCCCAAGGAACAATTGTAAACATTCAATGCTTCCCATCACAAAGCAAATTATAGACAAATACACAGCTATAAAACATAATTGCAATAACTTGAAAATTCTAGAATGTTCCTCAAGAGTAAACCAAACCAAAGTTACTGGAAGAAATCATCAGAGCAACAGGCAATGTTGAAGCTATTAAGGTAACACTTTGCGAACTAACCTAACCAATTTCACTTATTCCTTGTACAAGAGCTGAGCTATCTACCTGTATTGGGAAATGTCTGTGAAAAACAGGCCATAGAGATTTTGAATTCAGTTTAGCCAGTCACTCCCACCACAAATCCCATGTGTTTAAAGGATGTCAAAGCTCAGTTATACCCTTATCTAGGAGACAGCATGTATTAATATTAGACTTCATGATTTAATGAAAACTCTTCCTGCTCTCAGTCCTGTGTGATTTGTTGCTTCAGGCATCACATTTCAGTTCCTCTGCAGTCACAACACTGATGTTAAAGCTACGGAGTCCCCCAGCTTTCCAAAGGGATGCAATTTAATGAGTCCAGAAAATATCTGCTTATCATCATAGGGCATCCATCAATTCATACTTCAGTTCAAATACTTACCATGTTTACTGACAAAAACATAGGCTCTATTTAGACTTGTATTCAGAAAATGGGCACAGTCTCTCCTATGATACAGGTTGAGCATCCTCAATCTGAAAATCTGAATTCTGGAATACTCTAAAGTCCAAACCTTTTTGAGGACCGGCATGATGGTTCAGGTGGAAAATTCCACTCCTGCCAGTCAAAACACAGGAACACTGAAACTATAGGATAAGACTATCTTCAGACTCTGTGCACAAGGTGTATATGAAATACAAATGCATTTTCTGTTTAGACTTGGGTCCCATCCCCAAGATATCTCATTATATATATGCAAATATCCCCAAATTTGAAAAATGTCTGGATTCCAAAACATTTCTGATCCCAAGCACTTCAGATAAGGGATGCTCAACTTATAGGATGATATAAGAAAATAAAAGCATCACAAACAACAGAAAGCCCGCCCAAGCATGATGTGCGTGGCAGGTGCAATGCAGACCTGGGGGACTGGAAGGCTGGTGGTCACCAAATCCTGCCTCCTGAACTGACCAAGGCCAACCCTGCCCAAGACCCTGGGCCTCTCGCTCATCTTCCAGTCTCCCAGTGTAGCCAAGTCACTGGGACACTACGGGGATCTCACTGCTGCCCCCTGGGGACTTGCTCAGCCATCTGTGCAGCCTGACTATGCACAGTCCACTACTGACTCGGGCACACACCCATCCTCGCCTGTCTCCCATCAACACCCCCCCACACACACACATATGCACACACTGACCATCAGAGGAAGTGTCTCCCCAAAACCCTGTCGTCTGCCTCCTCTCCTCTCGCATGTCCACCCAAGCCAGCTCTTGTACTGTGTCCTCCTGGCCCCTGGTCTCCAAAAATTGCTCTTAAATTCCCCAGGGAGGTCCCAGGTCCCACACTCTGGGAGCAGATTTCAGTTTTCATCTCACTGCACCTTTCTGTAGGGTGCAACCCACTGGCCTCCCTCCCATTTGGACTTGGCTCTGACGGAGGTTTCTAGGACACCCACTCTCCAGGTTTCCTTTCCAATCCTCATGCTTCTTCCTCTGTGTCTCCCCATCGGCATCGACGGCCTCCTCTTCCTCCAGGCAACATTCTCAGTTCAATGCAAGCATGAGCATCCCAAAACATGGATAATAACACAAATCCTATCCGTATCATGTAGTGTGTGTGCCAGCTTGTGCACACCACAGTCAACATTTCTTTGAACCTTCAGATCAAACTTAAGAGGGAAGGACTTTAGCTTTCTCTATTATTATAAACAATACTAATTTGAAGTAGCTGCAGGTGAGCGTGGTAGCACAGTGGGTTAAGTCATCACTTAGGATGCCTGCATCCCATACCAAAGTGTCTGGGTTCGAGCCAGTGCTCCATGCTTTCGATCAAGCTCCCTGCTAAAGTGCCTGGGAGGCAGCAGATGATGGTTCAAGTATTTGGGTCCCTGCCACCCAAGTGGGAGACCCAGATGGATTTCCTTGGTTCCTGGGTTTGGCCTGGTCCAGTGCTGGCTGTTGCAGGCATTTGGGGATTGAACCGGAAGATTTAAGATCTCGCTCTGTCTCACACTCTGACTTCCAGATAAATAAATAAACCTTAACAAAATACAGTAGTTGCTAATTACTGAGTAGCCAGATATTTTAATATATTTTAATTCTCAAAAGAATCCTACAATTTAAAAATTATATCTACCTAGCTTATTTCCTATAAAGTTCCTTTACAAAACAAAAATCATAGGCATTCAGCTTCTTTATTTCATATTATTTCATATCCGGCCCCTCGACACTGGAGCTCTGCAGGGCCTCCCACAGCCCTTACCTCCCTCCACGCCACTCTGCCCTGGACCACGCACACGGCTACTTCAATTCTCAGCCTCCTCATAGTCTCCACTTCTTCCCTGCTTCCTGTGCTCCTGCGTAACCAAACGCCTTCCCAGCAGCTCTGCGGGCTTCCCCTTGGCCTCACTCTCCTCCCCTCCGGCCTGTGTGCCCTCAGCCACGCTCATGCCTTTGACTAAACAAGCTCCAAACTTGTATCTGTAGTGCCCAGGGGCACCAGGGCAGAAGGTGGACTTGACTGGTCAGTTGGTTCTCTCACCAGGCTGCAAATGCGCTGGGGACACAGGTGCATAACAGATAAATGCTGCATGGAGCTACAGGTCAATAATCTTGAACACTGGTATTCTCACTTGACTTCATAAAATATAGTACGATATCAGAGAGTAGGAACCCAGGGGAAGTCCATGAGAGGGACAAGAATGGAGTGATTTCTAGTGAAATATCCAAGACCAGTGTACTTGTCTCATTCCAGCTAGGGAAGAGGGGCAGGTGCCCGGTGCAGTGGTTAAGATGCTGCGTAGGATTCCCACATCACACAGCAGAGTGCCTCCCTGGAGTTCCGACTCTGCTTTCTACTCCAGCTTCCTGCTAAGGGATATACTAGGAGGAAGCGGTCGTGGCTCAAGGCACTGGGTCCCTGCCACCCCCAGGAGAGACCTGGATGGAGTTCTGGCTCCTGCTTTGACCTCACCCAGCCCTGACCATTGTGGTCATATGGGGAGTGAGCCAGTGGATAGAAGGTGTCTCTCTCTCTCTCCCTTTAAAATCAAATAAGTATTTTTTTAAAGGTATGGAATGGGGAAGGGGAGGTAATAAAAGAATGAAAACTAAATACTCAGGAACTACAGAGAGCCTGGACAGGGCTAGTTCCTAGGCAGCCTGGATCCAGCCCCAAATCCCACGTTTGCTAGCCCTCCTTCCCCACCATCTGTGCTCAGTCCTCTCGTTTGTCTCCGTGGTAGAGGCCCTGCCCCCTGCCAGCAGGATTCTCCTCTGCTCCTGTCTCCTCTCCAGACACCCTTCTCTCCCCAGTGAGCCCATTCCAACCCTCACATCTGGTCCCGCCCTGTCCCCTGTGTCGTGAGAGCAGCGGGGGGTGGCGCATCCTCGGCCTGTCAGCACTGCACACAAGACCCCTGGGACACTCAAGGCCGCCTCCACCCATCCATTGGGTCTCCTGTGGCAGCCTGGATGTCCCCCGGCAGATGGACACGCCCTTTGTCCATGCTGCCAGGCTCTGTGCCCACTCTGGGAAAAGCATTCCTGTCCAGAGGCCACTCACCCTCAGGTCTACTGTGCACTTGAGACATGACTCATGCCACAAAGGACTGAACCTCCCATGGAGGGCTCTAGTTTCTAATATTTATTTTCTGTTCGTTTTTATTGAAAGGCAGAGATAGACAAGCCAGGACTCAGTACTGGGAACTGGAAAGCTTCTGAAATTGCCTGAACCTGTTGAAGTATGTTTGAGTAGCTGAATCGAGTATTTCACCCTTACTGAGATGGGCTACAAAATGCACACTCAAGTTTGAAGACTATATAATATATTTTTTTTTTTAAAGCAGAAAGAAAAATATCTGGAAAATATCTGAAAACTGGAATCAAAACATGGGTTTATTTAGGTGCAAAGACATTCTGAAATCCACACAGCTTTTTCCTGATATGCATTTTCCAAGAACATTTTGAAGACCCTTGGCAGATGCTTTTTTTTTTTTTTAATAGGGAGTTGTATAGCTACAATGGCCATTTTATATTTGAGGTAACAGTGGCTCAGAGAGGTTAACAGTTTGCCTATGTCACACAGCTGCTCAGTGACCAAGCTTGGAATCAAACCCAGATGAGGCAGACATGAAGGCTGGGGCTCCACAGGGGTGCCTTCCCCCTGAGCCATCATGCAGTCTCCCTGTAGACCAGGACCCTAATTTTCCAACCACTGTACTTGTCACAGAACTTAGTGCTGTGTCTGGTAAATGACAGGCACTTCATCAGCAAGGCCAGGACAAGGGGGACCCGTGCGTGAAGGACAAGAGCCGACATGAGAACGTGCAAATCTCCCGTGCATTCTGGCTGCCACCGTGAGCCTGCTGGAACAGCCAGGCAGGGTGCTCACAGCGCTGAAGCTCTGGCTGCCTGTCTCAGAGCTACGCTTGGTTTTCCTTGGGTCCCTGTCACCCACACGCGAGACCCAGCTGGAGTTCCCCGCCTCTGGCTTCTGCCTCCGGCTCAGCCTTGGCCTTTGCTGGCATTTGGAGAGTGAACCAGCAGATGGGTTCTCAATCTCTCTCTCAAATAAATTAGAAAAAAAAAAAACCTTTTCAATCTCTCAATGTGGGTTGTATGAAAATATTTTTTTCTGTGCCACTAGCACCCTCTTGTGGTTCTATGTTGTAATATCAGACTGGGCTTCATTTACATGAACTTAACGAATATTTATAACTTATATTTGCAGGGGGCATCCCATATGGGCACTGGTTCGAGTCCCGGCTGCTCCTCTTCTGATCGAGCTCTCTGCTATGGCCCGGGAAAGCAGTAGAAGATGGCCCAAGTCCTTGGGCCCCTCTACCCACGTGGGAGACCTGCATGAAGGTCCTGGCTCCTGGCTTTGGATTGGCGCAGCTCCGGCTTGTCGGCGGCCAACGGGGATGAACCAGTGGATGGAAGACCTCTCTCCCTCTTTCTCTCTGCCTCTCCTCTCTCTGTGTAACTCTGACTTTCAAATGAAAAAATAAATCTTAAAAAAAAAAAAAAAAAAAAAAAAAAAAAAAAAAAAAAAAAAAAAAAAAAACCTGCGGAGTAAACCCTCCCTAAGTCTAGGTCATTTCAGGCATATGAAAACTGACTCTTCTCACAGGTTCCTCATGATCTCTACCTTCAGGGCTCCAAGCAGACTCTCAGCAGAGCCAGTGCAGGGCTCAAGGCACGACCACAAGGAAGGCCACACTCCACTAGCAGCTTCCAGGGTTTCCACCTCCGACCTCAGAACCATCAGCATCCCTCACCAGTACGATCGGCTTGGACTCTCGCTCCATTTCTGACACCAGAAGCAGAGCGGTGCTCTGTACTGTGATGCTTTCTCCTTGAGTGGCAGGTGCATACCGGCCAGGCCATTGACCTTGATGGGCAGTTCATGCAGCCAATGCAGAGCAGTCTACAGGGTATATTAGACCCAAGATGGGGCTGTCTGCTAGGCTGAGCCCCTTATGACACGTGTTTAAGTGGGTGCATGGGAATTCCTAGAAGATGGCGATAAAAAACGAACTTGACTTCACAGGGCTCGCACTCACCACGGCAATTTTTGGCAGTCACAGCGTCTCCATAGAACCCATCTGCACACCGCTCACAGTGGGGGCCGGCTGTGTTCCCGATGCACTTCAGGCATTCCCCAGTGACCGGGTCACAGTGACCAGGCTCTGAGGGATCCACATTGCCACGCAGTCACACGGCACACAGGCTTCCCCGGGCACCGTTGGGTTTCCATAGTAACCGTCTGCGCATCTGTACCGGAGATTGAGGGTGGGATCAAAGAAAGGCAGTTGTCAAGACATTACCCAACCCTGCCCCCATCCAGGGACTCCCGAGTGGCTAATAAATCAGACAGCCTCGCTCTGTGGGCCTGACTGTGAAAGGACGAAACCCCACGCTCAGCTACTCACAGATCGCTACCCGTGGCGATGAACTGGGACAGCATCCAAAATGAGACATAAATCAGCACCCGCGGCAGGGCCAGCTCTGACCGGCCCTGGCCACTTGGGACGTCACTCTCTCCCAAGCTGAGCCAGGACTGGCCGCTAAGACTTACACCAGGGAGGCACAGCTCCAGCCTCCAGGCGCCAGAAGAGGACTACTAAATCCAACCAGCCGTGGCCTTTGCTAGGCTGGAGGAAGGTGTGGGGGAGCATCAGGGCTGGCTTCCTGTGGCTCCTGACAGTTCCAGCTCCAGGAAACAGAGCAGCGTCCTCCAATTCCCACCAGGTGAAACAGGTGCACTGTTCTTCTCTATGAATGTGTGAATAATTACACCAAGCCACACTCCACTTCACTCTAACCGATAACCACACGGGATTGAATTTCTGAACTGTGTCAATGCAGCCTTAGAACCTGGGGCAGGATGGGTTGGGGGGTGGGGGCAGTACCTCTCACACCAGTCTCCCGCGTAGCCCAGTGCACACTGGTCACAGACCATGTCCTCGCCGTCATGAAGGTGGCAGGTGGGGCTGAAGCTGTCAGAACATTAGAAGTGACCACCGTGTTCTAGTGAGTGGGGCCTGATTTCTAAATATTTGTAAATGCTGCATTTCTACCCCAACAAGCAACTCCTAGCCCAGACCCTGAGGACTCTGCCAACCAGCACCGCTGTGAGTGTCTCACCCCCAATCCACATCACTGGCACACGACACTCACTGCTGCTGCTGCTCCGAGCCTCGACTGCCTGTGTGCTTCTCCCCACCTCTGTCTGAGCTAATCCACCCAGCTCAGCTGTGGCTTCCTCCAGGAAGTCTGCTTAGATGCTCCTGGCACACTGCGCTCCTCTGTCAGGTTCCATAGGGCTAATGCTCCTGCCTCTGAGGAGCCATGCCCACATGGCAGCAAGAGGGAGCGCTTCCCACACCCTGCCATCAGGGGGCTCTACCCCTCCATAAGGACCCAACTGCTGCCTGATCTCCCTTCTCCTGAGGGTTCTATCACTATTTATTATTACTATTATTATTATTATTAATGTATTATTATTAATATTATTACTATTAGATTATGGAGAGGCAGACACTGAGAGCGCCCCCAGTAGTTAACTCCCAAACAAATGCAATAGCAGGGACTGGGCCAGGCTGACACTGGGAGCCAAGAACTTAATCCAGGTCCCACATAGATAGTGGCACCCAATTACTTTAGCTGTCACTGTTGCCTCCCTCCCATGGTCTGCATTAACAGGGAGCTGGACTCTGGAGCTGGAGGTGGGAATTGAGCCCAGAACTCTGCTGTGGGATGTGGCCATCACAAACAGTGTCTAACCACTATGCCAAATGCCCACCCCTGTTCCTGAGTCTTGGGAGACCAGCACCCCAGGATTTCCTCATGAGTAACCCTGATGACATCCTTTTATACACTGGAGTTTCCAATAAAAATCCTATGGGAAATTCCTGGAGAGAGCGCAGAGGAAAAGCCCAACGGTTAAACCAGAGAGAGAGAGAAAGGTTTTTCAAATCACTGGTGCAGGACGTGCAGGACAGTATGTCCCTTCCACTTGCTCAGGGCCATCTGCAGTTCCCCAGCAGGATGGGCAAGCCCACGAGGCCATGCACGGTGCACCCTGTTCCCTCCACCTGGAATGTCCTTCCTGCTGCTCAGCAGTCAAGTGAGATGACAGTGCATCAGAGTCACCTTGGAGCAGCCCAGGAGGTTGTCCTGTCCCAGCACCTGGTGGACGGTCTCCCATGGTCATGACCCACTGGGAGTGCCCGGGCCAGCAGCCATGGACAGATC